AAGGAAGTTACGGTCCATCCTACTTTCGAATCGATGTCGCTGAAGGGTATGTCGTACGGCTCAGTTCTGTGATGTAGCTAATGTTTTGGCAGAGAACTTGCTTCGTGGTATTTACGCTTACGGATACGAGTCGCCTTCTGCTGTTCAGTCTCGAGCGATCGTTCAGGTCTGCAAGGGTCGCGACACTATTGCTCAGGCGCAGTCTGGTACCGGCAAGACAGCTACCTTTTCCATCAGTATGCTGCAGGTCATCGATACCGCAGTGCGCGAGACACAAGCCCTGGTCCTGTCTCCGACACGAGAATTGGCTACTCAGATTCAGTCCGTTGTCATGGCTCTGGGCGACTACATGAACGTGCAATGCCATGCTTGTATTGGAGGCACAAATGTTGGAGAGGATATCCGCAAGCTCGACTACGGTCAACACATTGTCTCAGGCACCCCCGGCCGTGTGGCCGATATGATTCGACGGCGACACTTGCGCACCAGACACATTAAGATGCTGGTCCTTGATGAGGCCGATGAGCTTCTGAACAAGGGATTCCGCGAGCAGATCTACGATGTGTACCGATACCTCCCCCCTGCCACTCAAGTCGTGGTTGTCAGCGCCACCCTCCCATACGACGTCCTCGACATGACGACCAAATTCATGACCGATCCCGTTCGTATCCTCGTCAAGCGTGACGAGTTGACCCTCGAAGGTCTCAAGCAGTACTTCATCGCCGTGGAGAAGGAGGACTGGAAGTTCGACACGCTATGCGATCTCTACGACACCCTCACCATCACGCAAGCCGTCATCTTCTGCAACACCCGACGCAAGGTCGACTGGCTCACCGATAAGATGCGCGAGGCCAACTTTACAGTCAGCAGCATGCACGGCGACATGCCCCAGAAGGAAAGAGACAGCATCATGCAGGATTTCCGACAGGGTAACAGCCGCGTTCTCATCTCGACTGATGTGTGGGCTCGTGGTATCGACGTTCAGCAGGTCAGTTTAGTTATCAACTACGACCTTCCTAGCAACCGAGAGAACTACATCCACCGCATCGGTCGAAGTGGTCGGTTTGGTCGCAAGGGTGTTGCTATCAACTTTGTCACAACCGAAGATGTGCGCATCCTGAGAGACATTGAGTGTAAGTGTCCTTGAGAACGTCTGGTCATGGATGAAGCTGACTTTTTAGTGTACTACTCTACCCAGATCGACGAGATGCCCATGAACGTTGCCGACCTCATCGCATAAGCAAAGAGTCGGTAATTCAGTGACATGCACAGTCAAACAGAAACCAAGAAAAAAGAACTCCCGTCGAAGGACGTGGTGAAGAGCGTGGAGGAAGGGGGCCGTGTACTATGCTTAGTAGGTTGCCCATCTCACATCTACATCCCGAACACAACTAATTCAAGCAGATTCAAAGTGCGCAGAGAACCAGATTGTCAAAATGAAGTGAAGAAGGGGGGCCTCAGAAGGACCCTGAACTTTGGAACAATGTAGTCAAACAGAATAATTCCAAAAATTGATACAGAACAAATGATCCCGTCTTATCAGTCTTGTCGCCCGAAGTTTCCTAATCCGTACAAGCACCATCTTTGACGCGTGTGGGACGGAGATGAAGACCCTGGTCGATGCCGAAGCCCAATTTTAACGTCCATGCTTTTTGCTGTTATCACGATCAAAGATGATGGAGTTTTGTTTCTTTTACGTGATGGATTGCTTTTGGGGATCATCGTGAGATCTTCCCCACGGGGTAAAGAGATTGCAACTGTAACATCATTGTGTTGTGTTTTGAGTATGAGAACACTGTATTGCTTGACGTTCGTTTTAGCTACAGTACGTATAAGCCCTGTACCAAGCTGTACTCAGCCTCAACAATACGTCGGCGAAACTTAGACTTCAGAAGCATATACTACTAATGCACGAACATCCATTATCTGGTCAAAAACATTTCCTAATCCTTACATAACTTGACATCGACTTACGAATGCCAATATTCTCGGCCCGGAAATACAAACTTCTTCCACAGCTTCTCACCAAGGTCCATACGGACAGACCTACTGATATCTGCTCGGATCCTCCCGCCACAACTCCTCCAAAGTCTTGGGCGGCCCAGGAATACTCTCCGGCAGAATGATCACGAACGGCGTCCCATCATCATCCCTATTCCAAACCCTCTTCTTCTCTGCATTCCTCGCATCAATCCACGCTTGCGCCGCTGCATTATCATACTCGAGATAGACCTCGTCGAATTTGACCTGGGCTTTACCGAATTCATGGTAGGCCCTGATGAATGCGGGACTCTATTTGCAAGGGTCAGTCAAGGTTTGACATGGGTTTGTGATAGTATCGGACCTGTCTTAAGAGCCATTCAACGTAGGTTGTGCCCGGATTGGCCTGGTCGTACTTCTGCTTGGCTTCGTTTTTGGCTTGTTGGGCTGCTTTGGCTTTGTCGAGCCAGTTCTTCCGTGCTTCTTCGTACTGTTTTTTTCCAACTACTGTGTTAGACTCGGTATCAGCCATGTTGTTCATTGAAGGTGTGTATAGCAGATCGATGTGTGTATTAATATCAAGGCTTGAGGAGGCAAAATCTGGGGTAGCGAATACAGCTTCATCTTTATAGACACAGCTCTCTGAGTAAAGTTCAATAGACTCTTCTTCCCACGACCAATGCTCAATAGTTCACAACGTATACAGTTAGATGAAAGCTTCTATTCTCACTCGTTTTCTCGAAATGGGAATTTACACAAGCCATTCTAAAGGGCTCAGAAAATGTGAAGCTGTAACGAATACCGAGTCCCTAAATTCTGCAGATGACGACCCCTCCCTTTTCTGTACCCCATTACCCTCTTAGGAATGTTAAAGCGATAGCTAACTACTCGTAAATTAACAACCAATAACAATCCTCAATCGCTCGTTCTAGATCCAATATCTCCAACTCCCGTCCTTATCAGCTCCCCCCTCCAAAAACCCATGAGGTAATGCGGCCATTAGATAAGGTACCAACCGGCCGAGTCACCCTGGAAGCGATCTATTCTCCAGTTGGAAACCCACCGAATCGCCTGCGCTAGACTGAAAAGGGTGTATACTTTGCACGTTGTTTCTATGCGGAGGTTTCCTAGCGCACGGGCTGGTGTAACATTGGAGTCTGGGGTAAAAGATAAGTGATGCATATATAAGACGCCGATGTCCCATATATCAGTTTAATATCAATACCAGAGACTTCAATATCATACTGATATACTTCTTTTATATACTTCGTTTTGCTCACTGCCAGAGAATGATCACACCCTTCTACTACACTCACCCGACCATCGACTCAAGCTCTGGCGTAACATGGAGAAAGCAACACAAATGAACCAGGCCGAACGCGATGCCCTTGACCTCGCAGCCCTCGGGCACGAGCAGGCACTCTCTCGTAAATTCAGCACCTTGAGCATGCTATCCCTCGCCTTCTGCATTCTCGGAACATGGGCCGTCTGCGCCCAATCCCTCGCCACAGGTATCCAGAACGGCGGACCTGTTACTTGTCTCTGGGGTCTTGTCCTCGTCACACTCTGCAATGTGTGTATCGCCATGTCCCTTGGGGAGATGTGCTCTAGCATGCCGTCTGCTCTTGGACAGGCGCTCTGGGTGGGCAAGCTTTGGAAGACTTCGTGGGGAAGGTTTGCGAGTTACTTGACGGCATTTATCAGTGTTGTTGGATGGTGGTGTCTTTCTGCGTCGCAGATCGCATTCATGGCGGAATTCGTGCTGTCGATGAAACTCATGTTCGATCCTGAGTGGACGGGGATGAATAACGGATGGGTCATGTTTCTCGTCTATACTGGGATCAACATCTTGTTCACCTTCGTAAACTACGTCGGCTGCCGATCGGAAAAGTTCCTCCCCTGGTTCAACAACTTCGTCGCCGTTGGCTTCGTCGGCCTCTTCATCGCCTTCTGTCTCGCCCTTCCCATCCTTGTTGGAACGAACTCAAGCCTCGAATATCAATCGCCGAAATTCGTCTTTGGAACTTGGATCAACGAAACTGGTTGGGCTGATGGCGTTGTATGGTTCCTTGGGCTCGTTCAGTCTGCGTATGCTCTCACTGCATACGATTCTGTTCTTCATATGGTTGAGGAAATCCCCGCGCCTCGACGGAATGCCCCGAGAACAATGGTTCTGGCTATTGTCATGGGTGCCATTTCAGGCTTCATCTTCTTGGTTGCTTGCCTGTTCTGCATCCAAGACCTTGCTACCACTTTGGATGCTCCATCTGGATTCCCTTTCATCGAGGTCGTTCAGAATGTCGTTGGCCTCAAAGGAGGTGCAGTTTTGATCGCTCTCTTCACCTTCAACGGATTTGGTCAGGGAGTGTCGATTTTGACTTCAGCTTCGAGATTGACATGGAGTTTTGCTCGTGATCGAGGACTTCCATATGGCGATTACTTCGCCTACGTCGACCCCTACTGGCAAGTCCCTGCACGCTCTCTTATCCTTCAAGGGGCTTTCATCAACATCCTTGGATTCTTGTACTTCTTCTCAAGCACCACCCTCTCAGCAATCTTGAGTGTCAGCACTATCGCTCTGACAATCTCATACGCCATCCCTATCGCTGTCTTGATGGCCGTTGGTCGAGATAAGTTGCCTGCAGGAGGAGAGTTTGGCCTTGGAAGATTTGGACCAGCACTCAACATTATTTCCATCATCTACACCGTCATCACGACCGTTTTCTTCTTCTTCCCGGGGTCACCAAACCCAGCTATTGGAGATATGAACTTTGCTATTGTTGTGTTTGGAGTCATGTTGGTAATTGGACTTGGGTTCTGGGTCATCAAGGGGCGAAAGTGTTTCCTGAAGATTGAAGACCTGTCTGATCATGTCCTCTATGGCCAGGGAGACGATGAACAGACAAGGACGGAGGAACTTACGGAGAAGAAATGATTTGTAGATAGTTAACTTTCAAGGTATACACAATCTGTTGCTTTGCGTCCCGACGATGAGATATCCTATTGTTTCCATGTTGGTCTCAGAAAAATTCCTTTATCTCAGGATCCGTTAATGTTTTCCGTCTCGCAATCGCCGCTCTTTCAGCCTTTTCCGAAATCTCTTCGTATTCCTCGCATATGGCCTCCTTCAACTTATCCCACTGACCATCTGAAACATAGAACTTCAGTCCTCTATACCAGCCAATAAGTTCTTGCCGGAAACCAGCCTCATTCCTCTTGATCAGTACATCGAGGAGCCCTGATGTGGCCTCTGAGTCCCTATCTTGTATTGCTTCTTGAATATTCCGAAGAGTCGACATGTGACGGTTCAAGTCGCATATCAGCATCTTGAAATAGAACTTGACGAAGGTCTGTTGTTGCTCTTGAGTTGGAAGAGGTTTGGAAGTCAAGTTGTACTTATTAAAAATCCATTTTGAGCTGCCCAGAGGAGTGCTGCTCTGCTCGAGGTCTCGAAGCTGTGGGTCTATTCCCTCAAGATCTTGTTCTGCAAGGTAATGAACAACATCAAAGTTATGAGAAAAAGCTGCTGTATGTATAATATTCTGCCGAACCGAATCGATGGCGCCCAGTGATGCACCTGCTCGAACAAGAGCCTTCAAGATCGAGACATTGCCTTTTTGACATGCCCATAGGATTGGCGTTAAACCAAGACTATCTTTTGATTCGATGTCTGCCCCATAATCTTGTAGAAGTTTTATTGTATCGTAGATTTCTTGATGATCTTCTTGATTCCCCCACGCGACGTAAGTCATTGGAGTTCTACCATATTCGTCGGTCTTTGATGCAGGCGCACCCGCCGCGAGTAGCAGTCTGACACAGGCTAGGGACCCTGCTTTGGCAGCAAAATGTAGCGCAGTTATACCTTGGCCAGTGCCTTGGCTAATACGCTTCTTGCACTCGCTGTGCCCCAGAAGTTTCTGTATCATTTCGTCGTTGCCGTCTTCAGCTACTGCCATGAGGGGGGTATAGCCCACAGGATTTTGCCGGTTGACGTCAGCCTTGGCCGCCATCAGTTGCTCGAGCCCTTCAAAGTTGTAACTGCGCGCTGCGATGTGGATTGGGGCTTCTCCAACTTCGTCAAGCTCGTCAATGGCCCAAGGTTGCTCGCGCAATGCGTCCAACACTCCTCCTCCCCCTCCTGCTGCTATGTGAACTTTAGTTGTGCTCACCTCGTCCCAGTCTTGCACAAAAGGCAAGATTTTGTCTATTGCCATGTCGATTTCAGGTTTATCACCTTCGGTATGATATGTATTAAGTTCATATCCGATGTTCCTAACCAGCATCAGTGGTACCATTGCATGCTTGTTTTTCTAGGCACGAACCTGGGTAGTCTCTGACTTGGCAATATATTTCCCCAAAGCTTGAGAAGAATCTCTACGCAGTCCGGACTTTGGTTATACAATGCCATCTAGAAATCTCATCAACAAACTTGCCACGCTATTGTACACATGCCTTACTTACCGATAACAAGGGCCACTCATTTCCAGCTGTGTCATCTGGAAAATATACAAACCCCTGTCTAATACGGGTCTCTAGCAAGGCTGGGTTCGCCATTGTAACCCATAAGTCATCGACTGATTCAAGGACCCTGGATAGGCGCAAAGAGAAGCTAATATTGGGTCCTCGGGATGCCTGAAATGATAGGACTCCTGCCCATAGCCAGCTTGGAAGTCGAAATTCGAACTCAACACTGGGCCTGCATCTACATCTGCTTTTCGAATTGTCATCGGTTTTATCATAATGAGTGAGCCACGAAGAGAAGAGGGAGACTGCCCATGCGCCAGTGCAGTTTCGTCGTTCTCGGTGACATTGACATTGGCATTTCGAGCCACATGAACGAGTGCCGAGGGGTTGGATGGATGTCACACTAACAAAGCTCTCCTCTTTTATTACAGTGACGGTCTGTTCGGTATCATTTGTCAAGGAAGCTTCCGAGCTCTCAGTAAATCTGTTCTCTTCCCTTGCGGCTGGAACAGGCTCGTGGATTGTTGTGCATTGCGTCACGGATTTTAGGTCCGTGGTTGAACTTTCTGACTTGGGTTGTGGTCCCTGGGGTAGCATGGGTAAAGTTTGGGAGATATTGTGAGTCTCTTGAGTATAATAAGCCAACTGCTGTGTAACACGGTGAAAGAGACTACCAATGCGTCAGTTTAGACAGCGGACGACACCATGCGAACTCACACTTCTTGTCGCACATTTCCCCTATCCACCATGGAAGAAACCCTAAACGTGATGGCCATGTGCAGATTAGACTTAGTAGCCTGAGCTCTTTCTCGAAGCTCCTCGATCTTGCTTGCATCTGATAACCACTTGACCTTATCTGTGTACCTCTTCGGGTCGTGGACTTTGCGAGAGCGTGAGTACTTTTCCACAATCTCATTAAGCTCTTCCAATATCTCTTCAAGCTCCTGTACTGTCAAGGAGACTAGTGGGTGTTCTGGAGATCCAATGAGACGTTGCGCTGGTATCATGGGATCTGTCTGCTCTCTGGCCTGCATGATGAAGCAGTCGATCATGAGTATCTACCCATTTCAGCACAAGGTATTTCAACATTCATTCCTTCAACATACTTCTTTCCTCAGTTTGTTGCATTCCCCCTTCATATCGGAGTTTTGGCGTAGAAACTCGACAGCCTTGAGTGTCCCTTGGACGGCTTGCACCAAAGCGATAGAGCTCGCAATGGCGCCAAGAATCTCGAGACCCGACATCTCGGACGTTCCAATTTGAGATCGATCGCAGAAATTCGATAACTTTGTAGATGATGCTTGCTATTAAGGCCTGGAATGATCGGGATGTGAATGGGGAAGAAATGAGAAGGTGGACGGCACTGATCGAATTGGCAGCCTGACGAGGCTGTGCTGGTGTGCCTTGGTTTTGGAAAGCGCCACCTAGGTAAGACTGTGAGGCTGAAAGTCGAAGATGACAAGTGATGGCATTCAAGAGGCCAACTCCTCCATTCTGATTATTCGATAGAATGTACGTAATTAGCGATTGAGAGAAGAAAGCTCGACAATACAGCTTCCCACGAAGCTCATTTCCATACTGTCTCTGTATAGTCCAGAGTTTACTGCGAGTTCCTTGGGTGAATTGCTCAAGAAAAGAGCGTGACCAACATCAGCTGAAAGCTCCGTATTGGTGTAGTTTGCAACCAATTAGACCTGCAGCATTCTGTCTCATACATCACACTCAGAAGCCCAGAGGACACAGCCTACTCAGCGAGCGGTAAAAACACACGCAAACGGTCTGCCAATTACATTTATTCTGAGGACCGAAATTGTAGCACGGCTAATTCTTTCTCGACCAAGCCTAAGGCGATGAGGTTATTTAGATCCTAGCCGAGACACGTCCATGTAGCAAGCCACTCCAACAGGCTAGATGATACGAGAAAATTAAGGGAACCAACCACGGATGCATGTCTTGGATTACTGCTGAGGTCTGTCTTTTATCTCTGAATCATTTACGAGCTCTTAGACGGAGTAAGCTCAAGGTTATTGTTGCGTCCTAAACAGTCTCTCTCCATGTCTCAGTTCTAAGAACATTGTGACTGGAAGCATATTCTAGCACCATGTATGAACCGGGACAAGATTCATAATAAGAAGGACACCTTCAGTTCTATTTCTAGGTTCATATAAAGTAACAATAAGACATTTCCAGTGGGGCCTGAAGTTAAAGGTCATGTCCGCAGATTACACTTATTCCCATGATTGCCCTTCTCTCAATCCCACCTGGACCCTGTCCAATGGACATATCGTCAGGTAACATGACTTATACGCGCGGCAGGACGTTTGATGATCCATGAGCTTAAACGCAACGTCAAACACGGCTCGTTGCAACGACTCGGCAGTTCACTACAGTCACATATCATTCTATCCGCAACCCATTGCCGGCGAAGCAAACGTTACACTCATTAATGTGAACTTAATATGAATGCCACAACTGAACGTTTATGCCTTGTAAATGTTGTGACGCTCTTATCATGCTATCTTAGCTGAACTAGTGTAAGGCATGAATAAGGCTGAAAGACCGTGGGCACTTATCAGTGCATAAACTCAAAGGTAGGTGGTTTCAGATATAGACGCCGCTCGAATCCATCTTCAGTTGAGTGTCCTTTGATGAGCACTTCCGAGGAGCTAAGCTTCTCAACCGCTTATGGCTGCTGATGAGACAAAGCTTAGCATTCATGCTGTCTAGGCACCAGGCGTTGAGTATCCTTAGGCTCGCATTCTTTCGCCAACTTGGTCATCGAGGCGCAAGCACTGGACAACTTTGGACACTTGCAACGTCTCCTATTATATCGTTGACGTAACGATCATCCTCGATTCATGTTCATCCAGACTAAATCTCATCGGAACTGTCACCACTCAAAAAAGAACCTCAGTTTCAGCCCAACCTCACCCGGAAACAGACAAGCTTCGATCTATCTCATCGTCAGCATGTCATTCCAAGTGCGTTTCAGGCAATCAATCGTCATCCCCAAGCGAGTCAGCTACCGTTTTCTGCTGCTCTCCTGTCGCAAATCCACACACTCCAAAATAAGACCTCCGTCGTTAGTCAGGACAAAACCCGTATTCTGAAACCCAAGCGAGAAAGTTTAAATGACGAGAACAGCCTAGGTTACCGGCTCTCTGGTCAACGAAGCGAAGGGGATCTTCGGAGGGACGGTCTGTTTCTGGCCATGGCTGAAACGGTCCGGGATTGCCCCTGGCGAGTTGTTCTCGAAGAAAAGTCGTTGGGTCTAGGGATGGGAAGTGGGAGATGGGCGTGTGTTGATTGATATTCGGATATGTGTGCTCTTTGGGAGATGCATGGAATGGGTTGATGGGATTTATGCACTTCTGCGGCGTCAAGAGTCCCCAGAGTGTGGTAAAACGTGGTAATGACAGGGGAATTTACTGCTGCCTCGTGAACCCTGAAAAAAGGTATATTCTTTTTGGTATCTCATTGTTTTCTCTGCCATCTCGATCACTTGTTCTCTCAGCCAGCCTTCACATGTTCTCAACCTGGGCACACAGATGGTCCTGGCAGTGGGATAAGGATAAGAATCAGGTCATCACAGCGTGAACTGGAGATCAAAGCGCAAGAGTCATGCAAGACAAAAACCGTCCAGAGTCCGGGGCACGGCACAGACACGGATTTGTATCTAGGACAAGCCTAGCTGAACCTAATACAGAAAGCCCGACGCCACGCACATGGTCGATATCCAGTAAAGGCTGAATGAGAGTTTACCTGCTGGGTGAGCAAAGAGGGAAAGGTTGCCATGTGGGATGGGAGGGAAAAGGGCGTTGTTAACGAGAAACTGGAAATGAAATGACGGAACCGAGGGAGCGTTCGGGGAAGATTCCCGGTGGCAGGGGGGCTTTTGTTTTTATTGGGGAGACATGGGATTTGTGAAAGCTGGTAAATGAGCAGTGATGAAAAACAACGCAAAATGCTACTGAGATATTGGGGATGTACCGTTAATATCGGCCATTGTACTGTTCTGTAGATATCGGCCAAGTTCGTGGCACCCTTTCGTCCGAATTGAGACAATCGTAAAAAATGGTGCGGAATGGATATGCAAGATTGAGTGCATTACCAAGACCCAATTCATTAGTTTAGCGTGCAATCGCTTAAGGATCTCCTGAACAAGTTAACTTGGACGTTGGAGAGTTTCTCGGGTCGCTAATATTGTCCGCTGACTGGAATGCTGAAGCCTCAAGGCGGCACTTTTCCACATGAGCCATCACATTCGTGAGCCCTTCTCCCGAGCTTCCATTTCCAAAATTCCATCCCCCCTAATCTCGCTGCAACCTTGGCTTCTCTGGACTGCGGTTGACTGGTTCCGCTTCGTTTAGCCAGGAACAGAACCGACTGGGATCCAAAAGAGCAGTCGGATTAACCCCCCGGTGAAGGAAATATTTGGCTTGGGTCCGCCGGGGGAAGACGATCCGGCCCGATGGTATCAAGGGTCAGAGCCATTCTTGGTACCAAGCTTCTGTTTTTTGTCTTGTTATTGCTGTGAGGAAAGGTTCTTTTGCCTGTCGGGTCGAAGCTGTGGATACTCATCGATTAGATCGACGATGATGCGAGACCTTGGGAAGAACTTTGTCAAGAGTGAGGAAGTCCTGAGATAGCATTTCTGTTCATTATTCATGCTTAAACTCTGATATCGTTTAAATAAAGTTGTGCTGTGGAAAGTAACGTCACTAACAAACCATCAAGCTCGTGCGTGCGGGTGAGGCGTGGATTGACGATGCACAACATTAAAGGACATGCTCGCACAGACTCTTAATAGCCCACGCTATTATCATCGGGCGACCAATAGACACAGGAGTGCAACTCTTGGGGGAGAGTCAGCAGAAGCTTGATGGAAAGAAGAAGCCGTTATGAGCATGCAATTCCAATCCAGGGGAGGTCAGAAAACCTGGGACCTTGATCCTAGATGACAATAATACTGATGCAAGTTATCCTCATACTGGGTAAGTTATTATAAAATTAGTAGGTTTCTTATAAGGCTTATTTTGTCACACTTGATCGAGGTGCAGTAGGTTACCCCTGACTTGTGCTCACTAGTCCCGGATGATTTACCAGTGTAAATTGTCTCTCCCTTGTCAAGCGTAAGACTACCTCAGCCCCGGTGTTCCTTTTGGGACCAAAGAGGGCAGGCCGACCGCAAGCTATTGGGAAAGCGAATAATGAAATGCCCTGCCCTGCTGCCCACACGCGCGCGGCGGTTGTCACTGGGCCGTGGTGCGTGGTCAATGCTCTGGTAGATCAGCGAACCGGACAATCTGCACAAAGATCCTGGCTTGCATCTCGAAGACGGGATCGACAAGAGCTAGTGGATCATTGAGAAGGTGTTGCTGGTACTCGAGTCAGCGCAGTGTGTGAATAGCGAGCAGGTACACAAAGGATAGTGAGATAGGACGAAGGGAGAGATAGATTCTTGAGAGGAGAGTCTAGAGATGTGTAGAAAACGTACCTAGATTTCTTACAGGGATCATGCACCGGGGAAGAACAAGGGTTCAAATGTGACAGTGTGATTGTGCCTGGGCGACTTGCATAGAAAATCGCAGGGCTTGACAGTAGGAGTTAAAGAAAGTGACTTTGGGTGGGTGGGATTGAGGCTGACTCGGAAATCTAGCAACATTAGCATGCCCAAATAGGATGTTGTGAAAGGGACATAAATTGCTCAATTGCTCGAGTCATTATATTATCACCATTGAACTCTCAAGTTGAACTTGTTCTGCATCAGAGGATGTTTATATCACAATCACATTGCATATGCTCTTCAAAGGTTCAATAGTTCTCCGGGCCGTGGCTGTCTCTGATGCCACGTGCGGTTCCGTCCCTTGCCATGTGCTGTAAGATTGAAGTGGGGGACCGAAAGAAGATGAATATCCGTACAGAGTCGAATGAGTACCTACAGTAGAGGCTTGTAATGATGGAATCAATTGGTGAAGCAAACACAAATTGATATCTCGTTTGCCTCATGTCTCATCTCAGTAACAGAAAGTCATGTCTAATGGGTACCGTAGTCCCTTCCTCGACATCTTTCGATTCTGAACATCGAAACACCACTAATGGCCTGGTTTGCTTTTTCTTTACTTTTTTCTCTCTTCTTCTCCAACATTTCCCTCTTGGCATACCCTCTTCATTCGACAGTCTCTCTGACGCTTGTCAAGTCAGTCATTTCTTTTTTCTCGAAGCAAAAAAACAAAAGCCACTTTCCTCTTTTCGCTTGACGTCCCGACCGATTGGCGTTGTTTATCGTAAACCGCCAATACAAAGGCACGCTTTAGCCTGGGGATACGATGCCCGTTACCGAATTGGTTGCCTGCCGCCAGTTGAGGAGAACCTTTTCTTTTTTTCGTTTTCTTTTCTTTTTTAGCTGCTTCTATCGGTTCATTGTGGAGTTGATCTCGTCTGAGCCCGTACGCGCGATTGTCATTCCAGAATGTCTCACTCTACATGCAATTTGACTTGATCGTTGACTATTTCTTGTCTCGCTTCGTGCCGATCCTCTTCCCGGGCGGTTATTTCGAGATTTCAATTCCTACAGTGATTGTTTGTTGTCGAATGTCGATTAATTGTGCTCGGCCTCAACAATTTTCTGTCTTCAAGTCCGCCTTGTTAGTGCTTGATCTTGGACAGTCCGTCACCCACTAACATCGACGTTATGCAAATGCACCAGGCTTAGCAGGCTGTCATGAATCTTTTCATGACTCGTTGCGTCCATCTCATTTCCGTCTTGTGGCTCGCCGTCAATCAAGACGAGCCGTCTCCAATAGCTTAGTTAGTCTGCCTACCTTACCTAGCTGAGTTTGGCAATTCTAGCAAGGCTGTCACCTAGCATCACACATCCCATCCATTCTGCAGCTGCAGCCAGGGTTCTTCTTTACGGAACACTATCCTCTTCACTCCCTTAAAAGCCAAACCCGAAGCAGCCTCGTTCTACAGGATACGCCATTGCATCATAAAATGCTTGACCGTGTCGCCAAGAGCATTTTCGCGATTCATAAGGTAATCGACATGAACGGAGCCGCTTCATAACTGTTCCCCAGTTTTGAACCCAGCAAGATCATCAACAACGACCAGGTCCAGAAAGCTGCGGCTCGGCGAACAATCCGCAGAGTTCAATTTCACGCCGAGAAATCGCAGATACGCCAGAAACCAGTTGACTCGTGAGACCCGTTGACCTAAGCAAGCTCAGCAACCGTCGAATCTCACCAGTGCAAAGTCCCAAAACCGCCAGGGAGACCACTAACTTTGGTGCAGTGCTAGGCAGAGCATCCCTGCGGATCCCTTGTACCCTGCGCGATCGCCGACGGACTCAGGGGCCCCGAACGACGCTCGGTCACCTCCAACTCGCCCATTGCTTGGGCCGCTGTTGGGTCTAGCTCCAAGCCTTCAAGCCCCCGAATCCCCGCAGAGGAGTCGAGGGTCTCCCACCCCTGACGCCTCTTTTTCTCCCACTCGCTCGACACTGGTAGGGTCCTTGTACCGGTGTGGATACACTTTGACTGCCTCTGCTCATCTGTTCCGAGATGCCTGGGCCTCCCCTGGTCAGTCAGTCAGTTCACTTCACTCGACTTTTTGGCTGGCTTGTTAGTTCTAGCTGGCTCTGGCTTTGGCTCTGTTTCTGTCTGGCTCTTGGGTCTTTTTTGGGTTCCTCAAAAGCGCTGTGCCCCGTCTTCCTACCCCCATCCCCTTCCCTCTCGTCTACCGTTTCTGCTTTTGTCGTTTATAGCCTTTTTCTTTCTTTTTTTTGCTTCTGCAGCAGAAAAGAGACTTGTTAGACGCTGATTCAGGTCCTGTCAGATCTCAATTGCTTGCTCCCTTGCATCAAAGACACGAGGTCAACGCCCGCGCATCCCGCGCTGTAGCCATCGAATCATTTCTCGCTTCATTCCGATCCTCGACGCACCTACGACCAAGACGCAGACGCACCGCAGACGCTCGTCCCTCTCTCAACCCTCTTCCGTCCGCCTCTGACTTGATTGACTGCGCGCCCACTCCCACTCCAACTCACGGACCCTTCCCCTCTAGTCCAGTCCAGTTCAGTCCATCGCTCTAAGAGGCCCCACCTCCCCGAAGCCTCAGCTTTCTCGTCTGGTCTTCCTATCAGCCCAGAATCAGTTTCTACATACAACATACTCGAATTTCCTCGATTCTGTACAACAGCTGTGTAACCGTTATTTCCGACAAGCCCGTCAAGATGGGCCTGTTTTCTCGTAAAGACAAGACGCCAAAGGGCGACCAGGCCATCAACACCTCCCAATCCAATGTGAGCGTAAACTCGCATTCTTCGAGCTTGAGATCTCCTGCTCCTGGCGCCAATCGCAACCCCCTCAATCGAACTTCAGCTACCAGTACATCCCCCGGTGGCCCAATGTCTCCAGTCAAACTCCCAAAGATCGATCTGCCTCGACCTCCGGACCCTCAGCTCGATCCTGCTGGTTACTTGCGAAGTCTTGGTGCTGTGAGAGAGCGAAGCAAGATTGTCACTGACAAGGCGCTGCGCAATGAGTTGAAGCATTTCGATGTGGATATGAGCAAGTTTCCTGATGTGGTTACTTTTGTTACAGGAATTATCAAGGTGAGTAACAACGAAAATCGCGAAATCTCTAGCTGACAGCTTGCAGCGAGACTATGATGCCCCATTCCTCAGCATCCCCGGCCATGGCAGATACCAGCACTTTGCTGTTGGAGGTCGAGATCGCATTGCCCAGCTTCTTTCCACCTGGCCCACCAATGTGGATAACACAGAGCGATGCCGACGTTTGATCGACCTTTTCCTAGTCAGCGTTCTTCTAGATGCGGGCGCTGGCACTTCCTGGCAATACAAGAGTAATGAGAATGGTCGCGTGTACAGAAGATCAGAGGGTATTGCAGTTGCCAGCTTGGAGATGTTCAAGAGTGTGAGTACAGCTTTTCTGTCGCATTACAATATGCTAATATCGGCAGGGATTGTTTTCTGGAAACCCCAACAACAAATTCCAGGTCGACAAGGATGGTCTCAAGAATCTCACTGTCGAGAAGCTCGCTGCTGGTCTTCAATCAAAACCTGGCAATGAAATGGCTGGTATTCAGGGTCGCACCGATCTTCTGGTCCGCCTTGGAGAAGCTTTAGCCGCTAAGGACGATTTCTGGGGCTTTGAGGGTCGCCCTGGATGCTTAATCGGTATGTAACTTTAACGGTCTCGGTCTCCCGCGACAAAGCTAATCTTTTTTAGACCATCTCCTCGGCCACCCCTCAACACAAGCTTCGTCCATGCTTATCGTTCCCCTGCCCGTCCTGTGGAACGTCCTAATGACCGGTCTCGCTCCCATCTGGCCCGCAAACCGAACCGCGATCAACGGTGTCTCTCTCGGCGACGCTTGGCCCTGCCAGGCTATGCCTCAACCTGGCGCATCTCCCAAGGTTTCCGCTTTCCCCAACAGCTCAAACGCCGCTGCTTGGGAGTCTATTCTTCCTTTCCACAAGCTCACCCAATGGCTCACCTACTCGCTCATGCAACCGATGCAACAACTCCTCAAGATGCACTTTGCCGGAACAGAATTGCTCACTGGTCTGCCCGAGTACCGAAATGGTGGTCTCTTCGTCGATATGGGTGTCTTGAACTTGAGGAAGGATGATGCGGAGAGGGGTCTTCAGAACTACAACGAGTGGGTGCAACGGACAGGCGCCAAGGGTGTCGAGGTGGCACCCATGTTTGAGCCCAGCGACGATGTCATCGTTGAGTGGAGAGGTGTCACAGTCGGGTTCCTCGATATGCTGTGTGTCGAGGTTAACAAGGCACTGAAGCCAGAGCTGGGTGGAAATGAATTGACTTTGGCACAGTTGCTAGAGGCTGGTAGCTGGAGGGTAAGTTTTATTCCACCAACAAGATTCCCTAAAACCACGAACCAGCACTAACTCATCCCAGGGCGGCCGTGAGATTGCCGAGATCAACAGACCTAATACCAAAGAGCCCCCGATCCTTATCGAGAGCGACGGCACCGTATTCTAAACAAAGGCGCTATTTTTAATGCAACACATGCCCTTCTTGGATGTATTAACTGAAATGAAACATTACGGGAGGGGAGGAAATAGAGCGTGAAGCTTTAAAGTTTCTTTTTTTAAACTCGCATTCAAAGCATTTATTCAAATTAAAACCAGAAGATGTGTTTTCTTTATACTCTTTTTTGCCGTATGCTGCAAAAAGGGTGGCGGGTTTTATTTTATTACAAAACACAAGCAAGATGAATTGAAATGGATGGAATGGGCAAAAGGGAGCTGCAGGGCGGAAAAGAAATCCTTGGCAGGGGGTTTGCCTAGTTTTATAATTGAGACCCAAGTCAAGTCACGTCGTTGAAGGCGTTTACCGCTTAATTCATTGAGTTGAAGAATTAATTGGGATGGTTGTTGTTTCTATTACATCGATAGATACATGCAGACACTTTTATATCCAGTCATGCAAAAGCCCCCGCGGTATCATGTCGTTCTCCCTCCAATGCCTATTATACAATGCCTGGTCCAGTTGAAACAGTGTACAAGATTTATCCTTATTTTACAGTTATCCGTCATACAGATTGCTCATCGCTTGTACTTCTTCTCAAACTCATCACGCTCCAACTTTCGTCGCATTTTCTCAAGCTTCTGAATCTGCTCCTTTCGCGCCTTCTCAGCTCGCTCCTCAGCAGTCCCGCTGTACTGATTCGTCATGTTGCCGACTGAGTCGGAGACGCTCTTCTTCATATTGTCGAGGTTGTCGGTGAGACGCTCACGAATGCCCTCGAAGCCCTTGGCCTGGGTGACGCGGGGAGGCTTGTAGACGGGCTCCTCGATCTTGGGGATGGGAAGGTCGAGGGCGCGACGGATGGACTCGTTGTTGAGGATGGCGGCTGTGACGCATGTGGCAGCTCCGGTGGTAACCATCATGAGGTTGACGCCAGCGCCGAGGAAGCTTGTAGCGATGAGAGTCACTGCACTCATGACGTAGACCATGTTCTGCATCATGGCCTTTTGCTCAGGGGGTGTGTATTTAGAATTGAGCTAGATTGACGTTAGACATAATCTCATATAGAGGTCAGAAATCTTACCTTCAAGGTGCCGACCAGCATAACGGTACCAGCAATAGGGAGGGCGTAAAAGGGATCGGCGACAGTAAGGTCGGTGAACCAGGCCCAGCCAGCGTCCTCCATAGAAGGAACGGGGATGTGAATCATACCGTTGATGACTCGGAACAGACCAAAACTGAAGGGAACCTGGACAAAAGCCCAGAACATGTTCTTGATCTCGGTGCCGTATTCCTTTCGGACCATGTTGCCGATAAACTGTCCCTTTTGAATCATCTCCCGATCACCTGTCTGATAACCCTTCTTCAATAGTTCCAGACTTTCCTGAGAACGAGGATCCGCCTTCATCTTGGCCGTGGCAGCACTGAACTTGACACTTCGAAGTTGAGGGTAGATCATGACGACACGTAATAAGAGAGCTGTTGCGACAATTGAGCCTCCCCATCCGAGACCAGTATACACATGAACGTGCTCGAGGACCCATTGCATAACGGATGTAGGACCCCAGCCGTAGTCGAGGCCAATCTCCTTCAGAAAACCAATGTTCTCGGGCATAGTGAGAATGCTAGGGTTGGCAAGGTCGGCAATGCTTTCGAGGTCGAATTCGGAGGGCAGAACGGAAGATGGTTCAGCAGACTGTGTCACATCTGCGAGCTTATCGGCGGCAGGAGTAGGAGCTTCGTTAATGGGTGTAGGGTCGATGGTCTCGGGGGGAATGGGAGCTTCTGGCGTTGTGACGGCTTCAACAGCGGGCTCTTCTGTCTTCTTCTTTCCATAGATGTTATAACCCCATAGCGAGAGCTGCCTTGACAAAGCAATTCCGCCCAAAACAACAGGCGCAGCAATATTCCTGACACCAACTCTTGTCCCAGCCGTGAGAGGTGTGCGAGCGCTCTTCATCGCTGTGCCGAACTGTCGAGCATCGAATTTTCTACCCAGGGTCCTTGACATCTACAATTGTTAGTGAAGTCTTTTTTTAATTGGTCGGAGAGAAACACACAGAAGGACCACATGGCCTCTGGAAAGCGCCCGAAGGCAAAGAGCGCACAATTCCTCGGCTGGGAAGCATTGCGGCGGTGATGAAGTGGGATGGGTCGGACAATAAGTTGCGCGATGTTGCTGGGAATTTTTTGGAGGTTTGGTTTTCCGGGACCGGCGGGTAAATGTCGGGTTCGCGATAGTCCGCCGCCGATGATCTCCGAATCACCTTGTCATTAGGCCTCGGCCTGTGACGAGTCGATTGGGAGTTGATTAGAGTTGAGAGACTGAGTCGAGTGGTTGTAATTGACGTCGCTTGCGTTCGAATGAGTGATTTTCTTTTTACATTTTGAACCACCGGTGCAACGAAACGCCACAATCCATGTTCCTGTCTAATATATAATCTCAAATTATTTAACATGATATGCATTCATCCGTCCTTGCTCTTTTCGTAGATATTTCATAGCGATGAGTGTGCCTTGGGTGTAATGGGTAAGAATCTGCAAGGTGAAGGGTTTCCGACATTTTACTCCAGGCTTGCAAAATCGTCCAGCGAAGGGCGAGGAGCATATGGCTTTTCTCGAAGCTCGATACCAGGTCCGATAGGGTGAACTCTTCTTCGCGAAAGGGGGAAGACCTGGATTTATTAGTAAGGGTTGATAGCTTTGAGAACTGCGCAGTATGGTATACCTTTGTACCTCCCCATCCCAGCCTAAAAGCAGCCTCATGAGCGAAGAGCTCTCCAAATCCAAGCATCATGCCGTTAACAAAAGGTAGAAGGAGGTTGATAGCAGCTCCCCGTATCAAAGACCACACTGTAGGGGGCTTGTAAAGAATGACGGGAGAGTTTGACGAGGGAGGTGAAGAGAGATCATCGCCTGCAGAGTATAGTTCGCTGTCGGAGTGCAATGTGACGCCGGACTCGGTGAGGTGGTTGTGTTCGTCGGACATGGCAGGCCTCGAGATGTGAGCGCTCGTTCGGATGAAACTATAGGAGGAAATGATTTGAAGCTCGATTGTTGGTCGTTGTCGGCTTGAGCTAGCTTCTGAAGAGGTTGTTGACGATCTCGGCTTGTCGACCGTCGCGCTTGATTCCCCCAGATCCTTACGTAAGGCTGCAGACCGGGGACTTGAAGTGGTGAGTGGGTCCCACTTTGTGTCATGGCCCAGTCGAGGAAGGTGGGGTGAAGGAGCCCACCGCCACCAACCCAGACCTAGAGCTTAGGTTCCTCTGCTTAGAGGTGACGAGCAAGCTGCCTGCCTGTTGCTGGAACCTTCATTCATCAACAAACACACTTTAAGATTCACGTGTTTTTTAATCTCAGCTAAATCACGTCCAAATTTATCGACACTCCTCAGAAATCTACGACTTCTGAAAATTTGATCTATACACATTTCAACTACCCCGCCCTCAACCGTCAACATGGCAGACCACGAAGCCCAGATCGTGGAGTTTGCAGGCCTGAGCGGCGCAAGCCCTGAAGAGGTTCGCATCTGTCTGACTCGCACTGAGTACTCCAGCTAACGCGCCCAAGGCCAGACAGTATCTCGAAGCCCACAACTGGGATCTCGCCGAGGCCAGCAATGCTTGGTTTCGTGACGCCGAAGATGACAACCGCGACACATCCACAGCTCCCCCTGCCGCTGCAGCTCCTGACAATTACACTGGCCCTCGAACCCTCGACGGTCGACCAGCTCCAGAGGCTGCCCGCAACAGCCAACCTGCCCGCAAACCTGCCGCATCACAACAGAGGAAGAAGGGGATTGCTACTCTAGGATCTCTCGGTGGCTCATCCCACCAGCACGACCACGGTGATGAGGATGATGATGACTTCGACGGCGAAGACGATGATGGACGAGGAAACTTGTTTGCCGGTGGTGAGAAGTCTGGGTTGGCTGTTCAAGATCCGCACCAGGAGGGCGGCCCCAAGAAGATCATCAGCGACATTCTCGCCAAAGCACGAGCGTAAGTCTCTGAGCATTTGAAGGTGAATTTAACTAACAGATTAGCAACGCTCAACGCCCCGAAGCCGAGAACGAGGCTGGCCCTTCTGAGCCCAGTCGCTTCCGAGGAACTGGACAGACCCTTGGCGGAGACGGTGTCGAGAGTCGTAGCATTCCTGATCCTCACGGCCCAGCTCGCTCTTCAAACGCCGAACCTCAAGAACGAGTTCTTCACATCTGGCAAGATGGCTTCAGTATCGATGATGGTGACCTTCGCCGATTTGACGATCCCGCAAACCAGGCTGACCTCGCCCTGATCCGAGCTGGTCGCGCACCCCTTCACCTCATGAACGTGCAGCATGACCAGCCCATCGATGTCAAGCTTCACCAGCACGACACACCATACCAGGCACAGCCCAAGAAGTACAGACCTTTCGGTGGTTCTGGTCAGCGACTTGGAGCTGTTGTCCCCGGTGTTGAGGGCTCAAGCTCTTCTCCTGCCCCTGCTGCTTCTTCCGCCGCTCCCTCGTCATCCAACGCTCCCACCGTCGATGATGCTCAGCCTACCATCATGATTCGAATCCAGATGCCCGATGGCACACGTCTACCTGCTCGGTTTAACACAACCCACACTGTTGACGATGTCTACGGCTTCGTACAGGGAGCGTCGCCAGACACCCGAACTCGATCGTGGGTTCTTTCCACAACATTCCCCAACAAGGATCATACCGACCGCAGCATGGTTCTTGGCGAGATGCCCGAGTTCAAGAAGGGAGGTACCGCCGTTGTCAAGTGGACTTAGAAATGGAAAAATCGGCGTTGAGGTTGATTTACGGACTGGCCAACAAATGCAGATGCTAGCATTGACTTATAGAGGTCATGGATAGAATCACAGATAGCTAAAATGCGAAATGAATTGTAAATGAGCCGTGTATGCATATATGTAATTGATACTCAAAATATCACATTGATTGGTATCTCAACACCTAACGCCAAATAACAAGCCATACGCCGTGATAACTCCGATCTATGCGGTCGTGTCAGTTTAGGCGGCAGCAGTGGCGGTGTTGTGAGCTGGTGTTGCGGGGCCATCCAGGAATCTGAAGTGCTCAATAGCGATCTGACAATTGAGCATGGCAGCGTTGAACCGAGCTTCTCCAGGTGGAAGAACAACCATGAGATACGTGTTTGTCGTGAACTTGAGAATAAACAGACTGAATCGATTACCGGCCTTGTGCTCCATTCGAATGAACTGCTCGGCATTGCGCGGCGTACCGGTGAAGCGCGAAATACTCTGCTTGAAGTGCTTCATGATGTTGGACATGCGCTCTAGTCGATCCTCAGTTGGGTTTCGTTGTCCTTCAGATGATGTCCAGGATGATACGGCGAGGAATGAGGTGCGCTCGAATAGCAGCAGCTCTTCAGCTTCGATGGCGAGACCTAGGTTTGCGAGATTTCGCTCAATCACAGAAAGATTAGGCACAAGGTCGTGGATAATCGACGCCCACGCTTTATACAAGCTCTGATCCCAGATCGACGTCGCAAATGGCGTGAGCTCAATCGACGACGTAGAAATACCGACTGAATTCGCATACTCAAAGGTCTTTTGTCGCACAACCCGAATGCGCTCGTCGTAAACGGACTCGCGTGCCGTAGGAACAACGAGATCCATCTTGTGAATGAGGATATAAATCTTTGCGGCAGGCGAGTATTGCAGGAGCGCGGAGAGGATGGAGACGTAGGTTGCGAGATCGCGGTCGACGTCGCGGGATTCAATGTCGAAGACGTAAATCAGCACGCCGACGTTGGAAAAGACGTGCACGCGCTGCTGCGAGAGATAGTTCTCCATAAAGGCCTCTTGACCACCGCAGTCCCAGAGGTTGAGGGTAAGGTTTCCGAGGAACTTGACGTGCGAAAGATCGATATCGATAGTTGCGCCCCTAAACAATCAGCATAACCCTCAGAACTAGGTAACGGGGGAAAACTTACAGTCTTCGCGTGTCGCGGGCAATGTAGTTGCTAAAGATAATACTCCTCATGCTCGACTTGCCGGAGCCGGACTTTCCCATGAGGAGGACCTTTTTCTTCTTGGGCTTCTTGACTTCGCCGAGGAGTTCGGGGGCGGGCTGGGCCTCGGCGAGGGAGGTATCGATGTAGGAGGCCATGATGTGAGGTCGTTGGTGTTGGTGTTGGTGATGATGGAGGGTTGGAAAGTTGCAGTGGAGGGGACGTGATGAAAGGTAGCTTGCCTTAGCTTTTGGCGCTTGCGTCTTTTGGGGTTTAGCGCCCGTCCCCGGATATGGTCAGAGGATGAAACGTCTTGGCTGGTCTTCCAATTGCTGTATCCTTTTTGGTAAGCTAAAGTTCTGTTTGTGTTTTTACCTGAGTCTTGAGTGAACTATGTTTCTCTTATGGATCGAGTTTCTGTGAAGCTCGGCGAGAGCTTCTGGATACTGTATCCGCAGAACGAGCTCTGTCTATCTGCTATATTCCGCATCAGCCAACATCGGACATGTTGTAGATATGCGTGGATAAAGTGCAATTGACAATATTTTATTACTTTAATTCCGAGAACTGAAGTTGGTATAACAAATTAGGGTCGTATTGCTAGGTCAATGCCGCCTAGGTAAACAAGGACTTGGTGAAGCCAGGTGCTGATGCGTGGGACAGGTTCATTCTTATGCAGCACTCAGTGATAGAACTCGACACCGAGAACAGATAACCTCAATAATAATAACCAAGAAATATCAACACGATAAGGGAAGCTTGCTAGAAATAGAAGTGTACGACTTTATTTTCGTGACGAAGACTAGGCCTCGCCGAATAACCACTTGAAACACCAATGCTTAATTGTAACATGACAGCCTGTTGACTCAAAAATCACATCAAACATAAAACGATCCGACATTACACTTATATAGTAATTCACTGACAATCCAGTGGATCATCCCGTGCTACTGCTGCTGTAGTTATAGGAGGACAACTCATGCCAACACCACTCCTTATCTCCTGTCAGACAATATTTATGCACTCCACGCGGATATTTACACAAAACACTTGAATCCTTCCTTTTAAAATGGCCTTTCACTTGCTATATAGTCACAAGGTATTTTCCCCTTGTATATCAATTGACAGAGTAGGGATTCGTGGGAGTCATCGAGATTTTGTTCAGCTGAGACGGGGTTAAACTACCAGTTCGTCTAATCTCACCACAAAATCTAGTGGATGAAAGTTTTAAGCATGCTCGCTCAGGATAATATTCTCTGTATGCTCTATAGTGGTCCTTCTTCTGATATTTGGCATCAACATGAAGTTCCATTCCTGTTCTCTTCCTTACAGCGATCCGGTACCATAATCGTGCTGTTGTTTCGTGTGATGGAAGTCAGCATCTACAAAACAACAAGCACATAATGCTCCAAATTTTTTGAAACATCAGATTCAGATACCAGTGACTAGCCTTCGCTTTTCATGGTACTCTTCGTCATTATACACATTCAGTCCCTTCGCCAAAGTGTTGATCACCCAAGGCATAGGGTAACACTCCGCCAACCAAGCGAAGCCACTGAGCTAACGACACCATCCAATCCCAGAGTGCCTAAAAGCCAGGAAGGGAAACAAGAGAATGCGCTAGAACTGTACAAGTATAGCTTGTTTCGTCTATCATCTCAACGTTAAACATGAAACCAGTTCAATAACACGGATTAATTCCATGAGTGAGGTGCAGTATATGGGTATATATAAACCAAATCTAACTGCCACCCTGTAAATGTTTATTACATAACTCCAATGTCCCCAAAGCATACCATATAAATCATCGCTCATTCTCCCTGAGAATATGACGGCCTCTCAATTGACGGACTCGCCGAGATCTTATCGTTACCTGGACTCACCGACCCTGTCAGTATTGCCCAGACATTCGATTCAGAACTCTTATGGTCGACAATATCACTGAAAAGGTCAGCCTCGATCTTCCCGACGGCGACAAGAACTTACGTCCGGTTATCCTCATCCCCTCCGTAGAGGGCATCGTCGTCCAGATATTTCAGCCGACCAAGACCAACTGGATCATTACCAAAGCTCACAAACTGAAAGGCGAAAGCGGTGTCGCCAATGCCCTTATCTTCCATTCGCTTGATAATCTTCGTTATACAGGCCTCGGCACCTTTCTCTTCACGTGAATCACCGTGCTCCCATTTTCCATCTGTCAGGATAATAACGCTCGTTGGACGTTTGGGATCCACCATGTTAGCATCTGAGAATATCTGGTTGAATGAGTGCTTCATATTGCAGAGGGTTTCAGCGTCGTTGCCACTGAGCCAGTGCCGTACTGGGTTGATGAACTTGTCCAGAGCGTTTCTCATCAACTCCATCTTGAGAAGAACCCGAGGCCGACGCTCTATCGGGAATTTCTTGTCTGGTTTCGAAGTGAAGCGGATTTCTGGACCAGATTGATCGATCTTCCAGACGAGCCATACCAAAACCTCCAACACTTTAAGTACCTCGCGCTCCCTATCACGCATCGTCTCAGAATCGTCTATTATAAAGACAAACCGCCGATTTCCCATCCGATTGCGGAACTTTTCGTAGCCCTCCAATGATTCCCTTTTACCATTCTTCTTGCGGTGACTGACAACATTGTCGACAGTGAGGTACCCATACAAACCCATTTCATTCTGTTTCTGTGGGGTGAGTCTGTTGATGTCGACAGATGTCTTGGCAGTGTTGGCGTCGGGGATCGAATGGTAATGATTATCTTGAGCAGGAAGTGAGATGCCAGGATGTGTTGGAGAACCCAGAGTGTTTCCAAGATTGAACTCCTTGGAAGATACCGCTGACGCAGGGGACGATTTGCCTTCCAGCTCAGATATAGCCTGGAAACCATTGTGACTCCATTGAGCTGATATGTGGCGATCGATTGAGGTTCCGTTATTCGAAACCATGCGAGTGTTGATGCCAAGGGGGTCTCGCTGGTGTATATCGGGGCGATCCAAAGCCATACCCATCTGGTGCGAAGGTCCTGGATGGGAGGATGGCCGCTGGTGAGGAGATCGGTCTGGCTGAAACAACGACTCAGCTATGTTCATGGGTGACTGAGTGAGTATCGGAGTGTTGTGGAAGCCGGTTTGAGGTAAGATAGGCGTGGTATGATGACCTAAGGGGGGAACAGGGTGAAAGACTTCCCGGTAATTTCTCTCAAAGGTTTTCCAGATAAGGATGGGGGATTGTCTTTCTCGATATGGTACAAGCATCCAATGCTCGACGAGACTGCAGACATTCCGTGAGAGGAAGATGGGACCTTGTAGCGCATCGAGTGCAGCTGCATGTGATTTCACAACACAAGTAAGCGCTGTGGAACTGTTGTGGAAACATTCGCCAAAGCTGCCATCGGCAAGAAGTGGCCAATGTGTCAGTATCTCCCTTCTGCGATCGCTGGCAGCTTCATCAAGGGCAGCCGTGCCGCCAGTAACCCAGACAATTGCTTCGCTGATGACACAACCAAGAGACCAGACATCGGAGGCTACTGGAACCTGCATAAAACCCTTCTCCTGGTCCCTGTAGAGCCTGGTTGCTTCGGGAGAGCCTGTTGAGGTTTGTTAGCGTAATCCAATACTGTGAGAAGAGGGTGGTTACAATATGTCCTGTTTCCATCATTATCCTGGAAACTGGATTCATCCTCATCTATTGGTCGATCGGGTGTCGCAGTGTCGGAATCAGCAAGCTTCATTCGGAAGCCATATGAGTATCGCCCATCTTGACCAGGGAATACCAAGATGTTGGCAGGCTTGATATCACGGTGAGCACTACGACATTAGTAACAACCAAGAAAACTGGGAGTGCCACGTACAACCCTGTTCGTTGATTCCTAGGACCGCCTCCAAGGTTTTGTATCTTGTCGATGGCTTTCGTAAGACCCATCAAGCCATATAAGAAATACCGCCGCTCTTCTTCGGTTATTGGTCTTTCGTTGCGCTTGAACAGTTCGAGAAGGCTGCCTTCACTCGCATGTTCCAGGATGATTGTTCTGCTCAAATGAACCAAGATATTTCACAATGTAATCACAGGACTCGATCGCGGCGAATGCGTTGTATTCCTTGATCCATGCATCGCGCAAAGTTTCTTTCTCTCGTGTGCGGTACTCTTTAAAGACAACGGTACCCTGCTCAAGTTAGTTGGCGTGGGAAATGCGGAGGAGGCAATTTACCGTCGGACTCCATTCGTGATCGAAGCATTCAGGGTACAAGGTTACAACCCTAATAATTGATTTAGAGTAGCTCGAATCAGTTGTTATCGTGAAAGTCGTTTTGCTAGGTAATATTTGCCGAGGATCGATGTATCGCTTATCCATGGGGGTATGTCTCGAGAATATCAGAGGACAGAACATCCATTGGTTATCGCAAAACTCCTTCATGTCGTCGACAAGTGCAGGATCATCGCCGAAACATCGCGGATTGAGTAAAGGCAGTTGCAGGTCCTGGTAACCATTGGAGGTGAAGTTGTTGATGAGGTATGTCCTGCTGATGTACACCAAAATGGAGAAGATGTTCAAGTAGCCATTCTCAATCGTCGTAGGAAGAGCGTGGATGTTGCGATCGATCGCTCGAGGTAACCTTCGCTGGCCACTTTTCTTCCACCATCTTGCCGTAACTGCAGGACTCACGAACCTGGTCACAATGTCGTTTCCGTCGAGTCCCGGTTGCGATTCCTGCCGCACATATCGTATGAACTCCTCATTGCGCTCGTCGCGCGGGCGCTTTCTGGGATTGGACATGTCGGCTATTCAAGGAGGTTCTCTCTGCTGGAATAAGCTCACAGCCACAAATCTCAACTGGTCGGCTATTCAAGGAGGACCATCAGAGTCCGGCGTGTAGGTGAAAACAGCAATCTTTGTGTTCCAATTGTGTACAATCTAGATATACAGAAGAGGGGAATCTGGTGATGTTGATGGATGGTAAAAGTGGTGGAGGTCTTTTCTGATAAATTATTTAAGGTCGCGGGAGAGTGGTTCGCATAAAAGGCTGTGCGATCTTTTCCGACAAGGCACTTTCCAATTCATACTAATTCAGGCCATCATCTTTCCAGATTGGTTAGGAAGGGTGTGCATATGCAGCAAGGCTCTCCTCTGCAACATTGTATCATGCCCACCACTATCTGGCCAAGTAGGCTGTGTCGGGGGATGCCTTGAAAAGCAAAGCCATTATTTGTCTGCCTTCTCGTATGATTTGGATCTCTGAACCGAAGATCTATACCTTGAAAGTGGCTGAGATGAGACATGGATATAGTTTATCATGAGGGCTTGTTCGAGACCAGATGACAGAGCCTCACAAGAGGGTGAGAGTGTAGGAGATGGTGCGACATGCCAATCGGCGCGGGGAACCAGGCTGCAGCCTAACAAATGATCCCACACATGGACATGAATCGACATCATCAGGCACATCCTGATTTGTGTAATAAGTATTGAGATACATCTTGTTCATAAGCTCATAACTCGTGTTGAAATCTATTATCTATAAAAAGTATAAATAGGAATAAATGGTAGGAAATAACATGAAATCGACACCCTAGGTTGTGCTGTGTTCCTCTAAGATGCGTGTTTGACTCTTTCGCTTTGCGGCCTGCGCAGCATGATAAGAATGATCATCCAAATAGCAATGGTGACGATCGTGATAGTGGCGGAAAGGCCAAAAAATAGAGAGAAAATCTGCTTGTTCAGTCTCCATGCCGCCTTTGCGCCCACTTGAGGCCATTCAAGGATACCGCTCTGAAAGAAAGACTGCCAGCCAAATTAGTTGTTGCAAAATGTCCAAGGACACAGTGACATACAGCCATGAATGTTCCAGGGAGGAAAATCAGAGTCACAAAAGTGATGATATGCATCGAGCTCGTCTCTTGCTTGGTCTTGCTGGCGATATTCTCCATATTTCGAGTCGACAAGTGTGCGCTCTCTGCGTAGATCTTGTTGATCTGAATGGTTTTGTATTGGAGAATGGTGTTATACTAAGGAAGTCAGTCTTGAGTCTCTCAGTATTGAAAAGTGAATTACCATTTCTTTGCTCTCCTTGACGAGCAATAGCAGCGCATTGAGCTGCGCCTGATGAGCGTCTATATTGGCCTCGACATTTCGAGAGTGCCGACAATATCGAAGAAACGAATCCTCGCAACCTTTCTTGATCTCTTTCAGAGCGGGAAGCCGATACTGAGTCATAAGACACTGGTAGTGCTCGCGGATCTGTCTGATGACTTGGTTGTTTAGCTTGAGAACCAGGAGCGCTTCTTGAATCGTCTCCAAGCCTTGTTGCAATTTTTGGAGCTCGTCAAAAGAAAACACTTCAAGTCTCTCAAGTCTTTTGACTCGGTCATTGAGATCACCCCACGGATCCTCTTTTTCATTGCTTTGACTGCGCGCTGCCCCAGATTCGAGACTCGTCATATGTGAGAGCCTTTTCGAAGGAGACTCAGCCAACCCTGTTATGATTTTCACGTCTTTTGTAAGGGCTGACTCGTCTTTTATGGCGGGGGTTCTCGCTTTGTCCACAAGTGGTTTGATCCCATCAAAGAGTTCGTTGATGTAGAATATCCAATCATCATCACACCAGTCAATCAGCAAAGTGAGAACCTCAAGAGAAGACGAGAACGCCCGTGGAACAGATTCTAGAAAGCTTGACTGGAGACATTTATTCTCAGCCAAAGCTTCTTGGAACAACTGCTCGTTCAGTGAGTTTCCCTTGCAGGTCACCCAAAACGACTGCCCGCTTTTGATGTCAAAGGAATGATATACTGCGAGTTGCCGGACTCCCCAAGATCTGTTTGGGACAGAGGTGGAGCTCTCGACGGATCTCAAGACAAAAGAATACCTAATTTCTCGCCCCGAGAGACCCATTCGATCGAGAGGGAGGATATCGTCCTCGGACGAGAGCAGCGTATTGTCGTCGTTGAATTGAGGAAGGTTACACCATTCCTGAGCAGAGTGTGACCGTCGGAAGGAGTAGAGGCAGCTTAGGAACGAAGGCGGAATTTGTTGATACGTGCATAGATATTTGAACATCGTAATTGGGCATCTGACTTGATCTTTGGAAGATCTGGATTGGAGAGACTTGCATTTGTTAAGTCCTGTACCAGAGTAAAGACCATGGAACTTACACATATCTCATCTTTGGGGCTTTCTTGTTTGGCTGCAGCCGAAGTAAGAGATCTCCCATGGTCTTGACATCACCCGAGAGCGATTGACAGTTGCACGGAGTCATGCAATCGCAGGTTTCAAAGATCTTAAGACAAGCATTTTCAGGTCTCGGGTGGAAGATCCGAGCTGCTTCTTGATTCCAAGTAGTGGCTACTGCTTGCCGGGCTCTGGCACTCCTTCTGCTGCTGGAAGAATTTTGAGGGTAGTTGTGAGAAGCATCGCATATCCTGTCGAAGTAACGTTCTTGTTCGGATAGCTCCATAGTAGTGATACTATTTTGGGAGGACATGATAGTGTATGGAAATTTGATAAATGAGCTAGTGCTTGAAGACTTCATAGATTACTCGGGACCAAGCTATTTTATTTCCATGAAGACAATTCCAATTCCATAGAACAAGGATCCAAGATTCGCACAGCCTAGATCATATGCAACGGCAAATTCGATGAAGAGTGCCTGGTATTGACTGTGCTCAGAAGGAAGTTGGCAGTGATGGTTGTGAAGGTGTGAATGAAGGTGGTAAGAGAGAGACAATGTGTATGAGGCCAGGTAGGGCACTGATATACAAAGTGGCTGAGTCGAAGGCGCATACAACTTGCCTCATGTAACCCGAACAGAACACTCAGTATTGCTCATATTCGTAAATGACTAGAAGAAAACGCAGGGGTTCAAATTGGATACTGTGAAAAGATATGTCAATAATGTATTATAGCCATTTGCATATTTCATGCCGCGAGATCATGGATTTCTTCTTTCTCAGCCTATTCCACATGTCAGCTGCTGGGTTAGGGACATCACGAGACACAGAAATGCGACAAGATAACCCACTTCAGTCAAGTCTCTTGGAAGATAGAATACAAGCTCGTTATCTACAGGCTGAAGCCACGGATCAGCTTCTGATTCATGAAAGCATTGCCACTCTCAGTGTCCCGATCTACATACCTCGACCTCAATACTCTGGTCATTAAACAAGGCCTGAAGGTACGCTCGTACATCCTCTAGCCGCAACTTGTATGCCATAATAGAGTTGTGCTTCATGGTGGCAGCCAATTGATTGATGATTGTACAATGCGGTTAGATTCTGATGACGGGGTCTTGGTTTGCTCCGTTCTGTACCGCGCAAAGGTCGCCTTGGGCGTTCTTGTCACCTGAAGATAGTCTGCCTCGGGGATGTTTGAGGACTGTGCCATTCATGACGGCCAGGTTGCTAGATATTCGCTCTACCGATGGCTGCGGCTCAAGATAACGCGGGGCTTGCTCGGAGTATCAGAGGGCGATTGGTAGATCCTCGCTAGGCAGCGCAACGGGCCGGGCTTAGGGGATTAGGCTCTCGGATCAATTGCCTATCAAGTTCGAAGTGTGACCTCTGTACGCCATATTGCAGCTGAAAAGGCGCCAAGAGAGGCACAAGCAACAAGGGGGGTTGAAATGATTGATGCTGTTGGCTGACAGCGTGCTGGTCTTGGGGCGATGGCCCTCCGGGGGCAAGAAAACACCGAACCTTGATATAGGGTGTTAAAATAAACCAAGTAAAGGGTCCCCTAAGTATAGGCTAAATTTACCTAAAGATTTTAATCTATTAGGGTTAAGGTCCTGAGTTTTCTTTCCTCCCCTAGGATGGCTTATAATTTGGTCATGCAGGTGATTGCGAAGTCGACATGCAGCGAGGTGCAGTATGGCGTGACTCTTGATTGACTGAGTCTTAATCCGCACCAGGAAAGACACAGAAAAGTGGAAGAAGCATAAGATGCGAAGGGCCTGCAACGTCTTTGTGTCCCCTTTAGAAGTGTTTAACAATGCCGTGTCAATGTTTCACAAAGCGGCTATAAGCAACTGCCTCAAGAATGACTCAAAACTGCGGATCAGTCAACATTTGATTCCCGGAAGTTATACACCAGATCTGTGCGATTCTGATCAAGACACTGACCGAAACAACTTTTCTTGGTGTTGCATTCTTGATTGATGGAGTGATCGAAAATATGTCGACTCTGTCAAGTCGAATTCGTCAGCAGTGCTGACGTCGGGTTGATGATTGGCGAGCTTGAGGACATCGGGCTCTGTCTACATACGCAAACAAGTATCTTGGATTGATGCTGGAGATTTGGGCAGTGTAGACAGGGATTTCAATTTGTGCGACAGTTGTTGCGAGAATTGCTTGTGACTGGGAATGTAGATGTAATGCTCAGACTCGAGTTACTTGGAGATGTTAAGAAATGCAAGTTGAAAGCGAACGAAAAGAACCTAATGTACGGTCAGTTCCTGAGCCAAAGTACCTACTTGTGATGGTGGTGTAAACTTGGGAAGTTGCGTCGGGAACCATTGGAAAATTGTGGAAAGTTCAACTCTTGCATCGCCATAAACCTCAAAATGATCCGTTCAATCTTTTCTTGGATCAGCTTCTGGACATTCAGGTCACCGACCCTAAAAAAGACCAAACCAACAAGAGCTTCGTCCAGAGTCAAGACTGTCCGAACTCCGTTTCAATTACAGAGCTTGCTGCTTGTCGGACACTTTTCGTCTCAGGACCCCATCAAGATCAGGCTGAGATTCTCGATTTTAAGGGCGCTGACCAGGAGCGTCGAATGAATTGAAGGATGCGACGCTGGTTACACCACTCAAATCAAATGTCGCCGGGATGACAGCAACGGTTTCGTCAGGCGGGGAAACGTTGGGGTCCGATTCCGCCCTACAAGGCTGCTTTAAACACAAGCTTTTAGCTGATGTGGAGAAACAAGCTTGGCTTCGTCCCTGAATCAAATCCGTTCGGCATAACCTTCTTAAAACCGTCCCTGAAGCAAAGCCAATAACGAGTGCGTCGGTGCGAGCCGTCATTAATCCTCTCTCCTTCAAGTGCCGTGTTGGAACGGACACGGACTTGAGCACCAAACCCAGCCACAGTCCGTTCGTCTTGAGATGACGATGCAACCCTGCAAAGCCGGAATATAGCACTGAACTAAACCTGCATCGCCACACCGACACAGAAAATTCCGCTGCAACTGCCCTGAAACCAAGCCCGAGTCCGATCTCTGGCTTCAGTGTCACAGCCACATTCAAGATTCAAGTCCGCTTCTCAACCACAACAACTCAATCTCTGGTGATTTCTTGACCTACGGGCACGGTGAATACAGGAAAATCATCAGATCCGCCTTTGAGGTAACTTCAATGCGATGAAAAGGATAAGCTAGGATCCATGAGTCGTGGATCTAAATGAGACGTTTTCCCCGCCGTTGAGAAGTTTAATGATTCAATTTCATCAACGCTAGCATCAAAACAAACCGTTCAAACCGTGTTCACAATGGCTTCGAGATCAGACCCAAATGTTCCGCTGCTCAAGACGTGCCAAACGTGTTTTCATGCCAAGATCCGATGCGAGAAATCACAAGAGTCTGGAAAATGCGATAGGTGTTTGCGCCTGAACAAGACATGTGTTTTTAATCCTTCTCGGCGACGAAAGGCTTTGAGGCCTGGGTGAGAATTTTGTCCTTTGTGACTTACAATCACTAACTTGACTCAGGCCGTCAAGAAATCTTGAAGCTGCAAGCCCTACAAGATCGAGGTCACCATCCTTGACCTCAGCCAATGCGACTTCAGCAAATGTTACGGATACTTCGCCTGGCGTGTCCACGACACCAGCCAGCATTGATACCGAAGCATCTCACAACCCGTTCTCCAGGGGGCTGCTGTCATTCGAGAAAGGGCAAGAGTTTCTTGATACCTTTAGAATGCGCATGTCGCCTCATTTTCCGTTCGTGATAGTTGCAGAGTCGGTAACCATTCAGGGGTTGGTTCAAGACAGACCGACGTTGTGTGTTGCGATACTCGCAGCAGCTTCGCATGAGGATCTCAAGCTTCAACAAAGTTTAGGCAAGCTATTCAACGAAATTGTACTTGTCAGGATGATAAAAGGACCTTTTGCAACATTGGATATGCTGCAAGGGCTGTTGGTGCATTTGGCTTGGTGAGTACTACGTCTTCTCAGACTTCGTCGCTAATGATCAGGGCGCATTTTCATCAAGGAACAATGAAGTACACCCAGCACCTGTCACTCGCAGCAAGCATCATCTCAGATATGAGACTTGATCGACCGAGAGTTGCAAGTCTATGGGCTTTGAGTCGAGAGAGCAAGCATGGGTCTGGTGAAATGACGCACGACGAGATGAGAGCTCTGGCCGGGACTTATTATCTCTCTTCAAGGTATGTCGTACAATAAAGTCTAAGCCACATCTAACACGCAAAAGTTCCGCTGTATTGTTGCAAAAGTCGCACCACTTTCGATACTCTCCATTTATCCTCGAATGCTGTCACAGCCTCTTATCTGGGGGAACTGCGCCCTCTGACAGACATCTTCCATACATCATATATCTTCAAAAGCTCACTGAGGAGGTCGACGATGCAGTGATCGAAGCCACAGGAGCAATACGAGGGTCAAGGCAAGATAAGTTGCCTGCCGAGCTACATAGAATCAGAGAGCGATATACGTCGACAAAATCATCCTTGCCGTTTCCGCTCAGTGAGAGTCGTAAGTGCCTGTTCTGATCAGAGTTGAAGAATGTCAACTGACACGCCTAGCCACGATTCTTCTTCAGTTGCACGTCCTTGACCTCCTTATCTGCCAACCCTCACCGGATGGCATCTCCTATGGCCCAAACGGTTTCCAAAGTCTTCAGCAAGGTGCAGATCAAAGCCGACTTCTCGACTGGCTCTCACAAAGCATGTCTGCTGCAAAGTCCCTCATCAGCGTGATCCTCCTTCTCCCACAAGGCGACGAAGACACGATGCCTAACATCGGCTGGATCATGCTGTACTGCGCAGTCTCTCTATCAGTACGACTCGACCTTGTAGCAGCACAACCCGAAAATGCACAAACTGCGGGCCATCTTCGACGTATTCTCGACATGCCTCACACCCTTCGTCAAATTGTCCTCCGCATGGAATCTGCTTCAAACTCGAATCCAGGGGATGGTGAATCAGATCCATACTTTGGTCTTGCAAGAAGAGCCCGGCGTATCGAAAGGTGGTATCTTGAGCGTTGTGGTCCTGTCGAATCGCCTGAAGTTGGGAGTCTTTTCGGATCTACCGAGACATCCCCTTCAAACCCATTCACCGCAGATATTGGACTCACCCCATCATCTTTTCAAGACCCTGGCTTGGTGCCGAGTCTTCAAATAACAGGCGAATCAGACGATACGTGGATGACCAACATATTGGCAGACCTCGAGGTTGACCCAGGGATGGAAAGCTTGCTGTTTACTGGACCTTTTGACTTTCTCGGTGAGCGTCAACAATAGGGTCGAGCAATGGACTTATATACCTTGGTACGGATACGGATAAGGAGAAGCGTCGGAGTTGTTGATAGCAATTAAATTACGCCCGTTGGATCTTTCATTTGTGTTACATATTACATCCCGTATACCGTCGGACCAATACCCAAACTCCGTCTATGTCTATGTTCATGTACATCGTTGACTATTTTTTACCCTTCTTCCCCGCAGCTTTTTTATGCTTCTCTTTGCCCTTCTTGATGGCATCGACGAGCTCCTCGATCTCGGCCTCCTTTTCCTTTTCAGTCTTTTCCTTGGCATTCTTCTCATCAGCAGCCTTTTTGGCAGCTCTCTTCTTGGCCTGAATCTTCTCGACCTTTTCAATCAGAGCATCGCTCTCTTGCCACAATTTCTTGGCGACTTCTTCATCCTTGACTTCCTTGCGCGCAAAGTCGACCTCCATACACTCCTTGATGAGCTTTCCGCCGGGACCTCGAGCAAAGTCATTGTCCATGGCGGCGTAGAGGATGGATTGGGCGGCCATGTGAGGAGACTTGAGGAGGAACCAGGGAACCAAGTAGCCAGCGAGGTAGATTGCAAGTCCCCAGAGAGATCCACGCGTCAACCAGCGACGGGTGCTAGGGGTTCGAGCGAGACCGGGGTCTACGAAGACTACTCGGGTGTTGTTGGGAGCCTTGTCGGGTCGCTCGTAGGCATCGAGGTGCTTCTGGAATGCTTGACCAAAGACGTTCATGGCGAGTTTGCTGCGAGCATATGCGGTACCAGGACTCCAGTTGGCCGTTGAGACAGGCTCCTTGAGGGACGGTGATCCGATGTAGGATGAGCAGGTAGGAATAATAACTCGAACATCTCGATCGATGGGCTGCGCACGAAGAGCAGGACTTAGAATACCGAGTAAATGGAAATTAGCCAAAAAGTTGACCATCCACGTCTCCTCAATACCCTCATCCGACTCCCTCCTCTTTCCACCAGGGGGTGTCATGGTAGCAGCGCACAGAATAATCATATCCAATCGTCGAGGCGGCGCATTATCAATCCACTTGGTCGCAAACGTCCGAATACTGTAAAAATCCGACAAATCGACTTGTTCCGTGTAGATCATCTGGTTATTCGTCTTCTGTCTTAGATCCTGGATATACTCGACGAGGAAGGGATCCGACGGAGGCGCCTGTGATAGCAGAACCAGCTGCGCGCCCTGAGCTGCGAGTCCGAGGGCCGTTTGGGCGCCTATACCGGACGTTCCGCCGGTCATCATGACGACTTTGCCATGGAGGAGGCGAGGGCTGGGATTCTTGCGGCCGGATGTCCAGATTTTGAGGAGGGTTAGGAGGGTGAGGGTGAGAATGGTGTAGATTATTGTGCGGCTGTGCTGCCGGACTTGTTCGGGGATGCCATTTTCGAGGACGCCGAGGAAGAGAACGAGAGGCATGGCGATAAGTTGATGCGGTGTTGTTCAGCGCATGTTGGAGGGTTGCTGCGCTAAGGAAGACATGATGGAGATTTGGTGTCGTGGCCCTCTAAAGGATCTTCACGTGATCGCCTTGTACTTGCCATGAGCTTCAACTTGAACATCATCACAACAGCTTGGACGTCGACAAATAAAATATTAATTGACTACTTATATCTGACTCGTAATCCATTCCCATGATTAATCTCGATATCTGTCATCTTTCTTCTTCCTCATCCAAATCTCACCAACTGGATCACCGGGATCAGCTACACACTCCCAATCACCAATACCGTGTTGAGCAGAGGCCTTTCTAACACCCCTACCACCACCGCCAATGATGAGATTTCCAGGCCGATAATTTTCATCAAGCTTCATACGACGAATGACACTTCCATGGACTCGTACTGTATCAGGTATATCTCGGACTTCACCTCCGGGGAGGGGCCAGCGAATTGGCTTCCATGATCCGTCGGACTGAAGATCCATTCTACGAAAGGGCATGTATTCCATGATTTTCCAGGCTGTTACGGCGAAGGGACCGAGACCTTGGCCGTATTCGAGGGAGTCGTGGATTCGAGCTGTGCATGCCCCGTGCATTACGCTGTGGAAATCGTTCTTGGGATGGTCTTCTTTTTCGTCCATTGGCATATCAGGTGCACGACCTGGACCTCCACTGCCGCTGGAAACTCGAAGATCAGGAATCGGAGGCCGTCCTGTAGCTTCTTGCCAGTCATGAGCAGCACAGCATCCCATCTCAGCGACCTTCTCGTCGTCAAACGTGAGGCCAGCTTTCTGAGCTTCTCTTACGATCCACGCAAGGGGGATGTGACTGGTACTCTTGCTGCCTTCAAGCATTTCCCAGCCTCCGCCGACATCAGCGTGACCACCAGAGAACCAAACTTCGTCAATGTCTTGGGCGGCGTCATCGTCGATGTTGTTGATCTCATCAAGTGCCAGACCAGAGAGGTTGGAGAAGTTATCTGGATCACCACATTGGCTTGGTCTTCTGCACGATCTCGAGCGAGCTCGGTACGGGGCATATGCGTTGCCTTTCTTCTTTCGGCCGCCTCTTTTGTCGTTAGGAGAGAGATGGTTGCTTTTTCTGCCTCTATCGTTGTGTCCGTTGGCATCGTGTCCGTTAAGTTCTTCGCGGACGTCATTGATTGCCTTGTGGAAGTGATGGCCTTTGTCATCCTTCTGCTTGGGCCGATCTTGGTACATGAGATCCTGACGAAACTTGGCTCGTCTCTCGTCGATACTGACGGCGTGGCGGATTACTCGTGCACTACTGCGTGCGGTGTACGGGAACTTGCTGCGCTGCATCCAAGCTGTCTCGAACCTTGGAACAGAATTGACTGTATCAAACAGGCCAAGGAAACGGATACGACCAACTGGACGAGAGAACGTTTCTCGAAAGCCCTTCATGAACTGAAACATTTCGTCGCGCTTCTTCTTTGCGGCCTCGGTCTCTTTGCTCGGTGGCTTGTCGCAGTCTTCCTCGTCTTCGGGAACCTGCTCACGGCCTTGCCACTGAGCAAATGCCTTCCACGCGAACTTGACCATTTCTTCATTGCCGTGCGACAAGAGTCCGATATAGTCGAGCATCTCAGCAAGGAAACGTGCGATATAAGCTCCTCGACTGAAACCAAACATGTAAATCTCATCGCCGGGGTTATAAAATCGCATGAGGAATCGATAGCCTCCTACGACATGCTGGTCGAATGAAGAGCCAATGGCCGAGTCTTTGGCTTTTTGATACCAAGAGCCAAAGCGAGCCCGAATGCCGGTATGAGTGAGTGATCCTGAGACGACATATGTTCCAATGCCAGCTGGATTGTGTAAGTTGAATGTGACTGCGATGAGAGGGTCACTTACGTTGGTAGTAGTGGTATTGGTCATCGGCTTGACGGTCAAGCATTCGAAAGATCTTGAGAATGTTGCTGTCACTATCGTCACCATGGAACTTGTTCCCTGTTCCATCGAAACAGAGAACAAGCTTCCGAGGCTTTCGCCCATATCCGATGCCTGCGTCAGGTGCCATTCCCGGAGTTGAAGGTCTGCTCTGAAAATCTCGAGATGAATCAGGATGGCCTTTGACAGACTCATTCAGAGAATTCGGGGCAAGATGACTGTAGTCCATTGTAGCACACTCTCACTCGGTTACACCAGGCGGAGGTTTGTAACATCACACAAGGTGCTCACGAATGCAGCCGAGTGCAGCTGGGGAGCAGCCTCTTATGTTGGACATGACCACTAGCCCGGACTTTCTCAAATCTCATCGAACTGAACCATGTTTCGGTCAAAGATCAGCCAAGCGGTACACAATACAATAATTCCGGTATGCATCCCCGCAGCTACCTGCGGCGGTACAACAAGAACAAGATACCACAGCGGCTCAATGTCTTAGATGGCGGCGCCAGTGAACTGGTAGTGGGTGTTTCCAGGCTGACTATTTGATCTCTCCCGTCGATCTCACCCATGGCGATACCCTCTAAAGGGGCCGCTTGTCTCTGACTGGCTTGTGCATTCAGCCCAAGACATTTGAGGAGCTCAACAAGCGGACAAGAGACCATGGTCGAACCAAGATGGAGCTTTCACCGTGCCAACTCCACTAGGTCATCCTTGCATCTGGGGGTGCACCTCTCACCAACCAGAATTCGCTGATCGTCATCAATTGCCGATAGCTGTGAAGTTGGTACACCACTATCTCATTTTGGGAGACGTACAGATTGCCCGCGTCGAGCTGAGAACCCTCTTTGGGAGATTTGCATGATGATCTATTAGATGTGGCTGCCCGAGAGATTTTTTTGCTGTCGATCGACATCCCTGGTTCTTCTTGGTCAGAGTCTGAGCGCATGCCAATCGGAGAATGAATTGCTCCAGCGCGGAAGCTATCAGCCCGCTATTAAGGGCCGTCCCTAGGATGGCCTGGACGGACGGAAATGCGCAAACAAGCGTGAGAATTGGTGAATTGATAATGATTTGGAAGCTGAGACACTAACAAGCCATCGACGTTGGTGGCAGCCCAAGTCTGAGCAGCATTCAGCTCTATGAAGATCAATTGCTCTACTGATTCTGGTAACACTCGTAGTGACTCTACAGCTTACTGTCCTTCCAAACAGCATTCCTCTTCTCGACAAAACTCAAGACACCCTCCTTCATATTATCACCACCTTCCATCCCCTTATAAATCCCCCCGTCAATCCTGTTCGTGCTCTCCCTCGGCCCCTCAGCTTCCCACCCTCCCAAGAGACCCTCGCGCGTCACAATAATCGAGTCTGGCGAATTACCTGACATCTCAACAGCCCACTTCAGCGCCTCTTGCACAACGTCCTCCAGCTTGACAACCTTGTTCACAATACCCCAGTCAAGGAACTGCTGTGCGCTGTACATGCGGCCCAAGAGCGCTACTTCTGATGCCCGTTGTCGTCCTACCGTTCTGATAAGACGCGGTAGGGCACCTGCGATGGCGACGACGCCGCGCTTCACTTCTGGAAGACCGAATTTGGCTGTTTCGCTGGCGATGACCATGTCGACGTTGAGTGCCATTTCCATTCCACCGCCGAGACAGAGACCATTGACTGCTGCGATGACGGGCTTCTTTCCATGGCGGTTACTCAAGCCTCCAAAGCCGTTCTCTGCCCACCTCTCAACGTTCTTAACATTTCCCTCTGAGTTCTTGACGTTCCACTCTTTGAGATCTGCGCCAGCGCAGAATGCGCGTCCGGTGCCTGTCAAGATGGCACAGCGCAGTGTGGGCTCGTTGTCGTACCATCTCCAGAGACGGTCGAGATCAATGCTCATCTGGCGCTGGAGGGCATTGAGATGTTCAGGCCGGTTAATGGTGACGAGAACGATGTGAGGATGGGGAAATGAGACGGCGACGTGAGGCACCTTTGGGGGATTGAGTGACTTTGACATGATGATTATTGTTACTGTGATTGATGTTGCACAGTCTGGACGATTGATAATCTGGAGCTTGACCTCTCTTATTTACATCACTAACCACGGATACAAGCTCCAGGACCACGGTAACATCAGTGTGGGGAACCTCGGCACCTCGGAAGCTCCCCCAACAATGGCAACGCGCCGACGATCCCCCTCATTAAGAGAGACAGTCTGACAGAGACAGACACAGACAGAGACATTGGTAAGTTACTGTAGACTCAATTGTATATTCCCACAGCTCTCAAAACGCCCTCACCAAGTCTCATTGGTATTGCAACCCCATCGAATTATAATAATAGTACATTTTAAGCATACCCCCTTCACGCCGGTAGTCCACGCTTCTCGCTCTCAGTGAAAAAGATGACCATACGCCAGAGCTTCTTGACAAGATCCTCCGCCTCATCATCGAGTGCCTGTGAAACATGAGTCAGTAATTTGATCACAAGACATAATAAATTGGGGGGAAACGTACTCCTTCTAGCTCTTCCGCTAGAGCGGCTGCTGTACCGTGAGCGCGAAGATGTTCCTCCACTGCTTCGACGAGCATCTCCTCTTGTACACCGAGATACTCGACAATCTTCTTCTCCACGAATGGTCGGAGCTTGTCCTTCACCACTGCATCATCCATAAACTCCCACTTGACCTGCCATCCCCACAAGCCATCCTTGTCCGATGGGATCTCCTGGGCCAGGGATCGGACAGCCTGTGAGATTTCCTCCTCCGTCATATGCGCCGTAGCAGAAGAAGGCTCGAATTGGATAGGTACCAGTTGTCGCTTTGTAGAAGTATCCGCCTCTTCGTCGTCCAAGAGACCCTCCACCTCTGCGATTGTGCGCCGTTGTGGTGCTGCCCTGGATGCCTGAGCCTTCTGAGCTGCGGCTCCGAGGGATAGTTTGAACGGCTGAGGTGCAGCGGCGGGTGCTTGTCGCTGGTCCATCTCTTCGGCCTGCTTGTCGAGGAACGAGTCGGCCATACCGCGTGCACGCTCCATCTCAGCCTTTTCACGACGCTGTTCATCGTGCTCTGCCCTTCTGTCTGCTTCGTCTCGTGCTTCTTCCTCTGCACGATCACCAGCTCTCTTGCGAGCCCAGCCGCTGTGATCGCGATAGTAAGGGTGTGTCTTGCGACTTGCTTCTTTCTCATCATCCCATGCCTTTTCTCGCTCAAGCTGCTCCTGCTTTCGTTGTTCGAATGACTCTGCATCTTGACGTTCTCGCTCGCGCTCTCGATCTATTGCTGCTTGTCTTGATCGTTCTCTGTTGCTCCATTTACGCTCAGCTTCAAGGTATGCTTTGTCGTCCTCCTCATCCTTCTTGGACTTGTACCGTCGGTACAGTTCTCCATCGCTGGCGTCTGTATCGTCATCTTCCTGGTGAATAGAAAGGTCCGTGTTTGAAATACCTCCATTCACAAAGGCAACTCGCTGTCCATTCTGCCCCTTAGGTCCTGATGGTGCATTTGCTATGCTGCCTCTTGGGCCAAGAGGAATGTTGTTGGTAGCTGGTGGTGAATCGAGTCGAGAGTGTCGGGCTGGTCCATTCCGTCGTCGCTCCATCTCCTCCATCTCTTCTTCCTTTCTCAATCGCTCCAGATCTCGTTGATTGCTGCGCTCCCGGAAAGCAGCGATTTCTTGTGACACTACTTCCCTCATCTCAGCTGGAATATCTGCGAGTTCGTCCTCTTGAGCCAAAGGAATATTCACAACTTCGACATTCTCGCCAGACTCGGTGTTGCCCATTGTGATATCCTCATTTGTTGTGTTGGTCTTGGGGTAGAACAAATCGTGAACCACGTCCTTGAGCGCTGACCTGGCCGCCTCGAGCTTCTCCGATCCGATAGCACCGTCCTGATTCTCTTCGTAGGACTCCAGGTACTTGAGCGAACTCTCATCGACCATAACTTTGAGCTTCGTCTTTTCGATACCCTCGTACGCATCGTCTTTGGGTGCATCCGCGGCCACCGGTTGCCGCTTGACGGGAACTTCGACTTGTTGCTCGTGGAGGAGTTTGACTGCAGTACTCAGCGACCAAGGGTCCTCAAAAAGAGCGAAACCAAACTTAACGCCTTTATGGTCTTCTGTGACACTCGCTTCAGAATCCCACTTTCGCAGCTTTCCACAAGCACCCAGAAGTCGTAGGATCCCCTCGTCGCCGCCCAAGCCTTCGGGAATCTCGTTTATGAAGAGCGTTCGGAGCTTCTCCTCGTTCGTTGGGGGAACAAGTACCTGTGTTACTTCCCTCGCGCCTCGATCTCGATCACCGCCTCGGTCCATCCCCAAGCCAGGACGTCCACCGCTGGGCATGGGCATATCACGACCGCCCGCGGTGGGGGTACCGGGTTTACCCTGCTGCGATGTACCGAGTCGGATCACGGGGGCGTTGAAGTTGATGTTGGGCATGTTGGCAGGCGCTTGGAAGTTGGGTGGAAGGCCGCTTGGACGATTAGCTTGCTGGGCGCTAGACTGCTGGACACCTGGAGGTGCCATTCCCGGAGCAGAAGACATGCCTGGAGGAGGTCCTGCAAACATGTTAGAAGGGTAGTGAGGGTATTGCAGAGATTGCGCACCTAGACCAGGTGGAGGAGCCATTCCTGGAGGGGCATTGTTTGATCCGGGATATCCCCCATACGCAGGAGGCGCGCCGTAAGGATTGTCTACTCAAGTTAGCTCTGTTGATAGCGATTCAAGGGAAACATACTGCCATAAGGATTATACGCCATAGTGGCGCTGTCGCGTGCACGCGCGGAGAATCGGGGATGAGGATGATCGCGTAAGACTTTCGAGTAAACTATTCACGTCAGGATAACGATGGAATTGTTTTTGGATGTTGTTTCGCGATTCTTTATGCTGGCGCAAACCGTGTTGAGGCATCCAGGCACGAGGCTGAAATGTTTCAATGTGGGGCCGGTTTTCGGTCCACAATCCCGCCTTCTTTCGCCCCTACATTTTTCCGAATATCGCGACTTTTCTGCATCGCCTGTTTTGGGACGGCTATTGACGACGGCCATTGGCGGTTTAGCTATATCGACAGAATGTAAGTCAATTGGCCCTGTACTTTTGAACTTGATGCTGACAGATTTAGGGCCGCTTCGTTAAGAATTGGCAGCTCGATGCTGTCGAGAGTAGCTACACCTTCAACATGCCTCGCCAAGAGGACATTTACAACCTCACTCGCCTTCCGAGCAGGCCCCAAGATTCCCACAGGTGACGAGGCACCTCCAGCTGTTGCTCCTCTAGCTCGGTCGAACCCTCTTATTGGCAGTCTCCCTCCTTCGCCACCTCCCGCCGGCTCTGTCGCCGAATCATCCACCGAATCAAAGCCCAGGCACGCCTACGATGCTTCGAAACCCTTCAGTCTAGACATCGCATCCATCATTGCCAACAAATCCAGCGCATACGGCGCCGAAATTGACTCGGACCCAATTGCTCGACCTCAAATTCGCGCTAAGCCCGTCACTGGCCGTACAGTCTTCATCAAGGACCGAGTAACCAAGACAACTGGTCCCACCCCCATGGTAGCTCTTCGAGTTCTCAACAGAATCATCCGAGAGGACCAAGTCAAGAACAAATTCCACAGCCAAAAGTTCCACGAGCGAAAGGGACTCAAGAAGAAGAGACTAAGGAGTCAGCGATGGCGATCACGATTCAAGCATGGTTTCAAGGCGACTGTCAGCAGAGTTATGGAGCTCAAGAAGCAGGGCTGGTAGAGTGTAAAAGCACGGTGTACATTATATGAGAGCATGTAAACTATGATTAAAGAGAATTCATTATCGTGACTACATATATTCGTCGTCATCCCAATCCTTCGTTGGACTTGGCAAAGGGCTGGCCTTGATCTTGGGTCGTGATCTGAAGACTGCCTCCATATCCTCCTGAGCCATGAGTTCATCAGTGATGATGGTCATGTCTTCCTCTTCCACCTTGGGAAAGTAACTTCCCTCCTTCTTAGGGGGCGCCTTGGTCTTCCGCAGAGAGCGTCGCCTGTCCAACTGGGCCTTTTGTCTCGCCTTGTCGAAACCAGCCATGCTCTTCCGGGTCCGAGCAATGAGATCAAATTCTTCATCAACAGATGTTTGACTGGGGTCCTCCGCAGACACAGGTTCCGAAGACGTTGGTGGGGATAAATCGATATCTTCATTATCAGGGTCGAAGGCTCCGCGAGCCATGGTCAGGCGAGTTCGTTCTGCAAGTGAAAGAGTGTGTCGAGGTTTGGGTCGTCGTTTGACGGGAGAGGGAGAAGCCATATCCATAGATTCGAGGATCTGGTCAGCCATTTCTTGGGTGGGAGAAGGCCTTGCCGGCATCAATTCTGGAGATTCTTGTAGTGGCAGAGGTGACGGAGGAGGAGACGGTTGGGGCGATATATGAGGTGACAGCTGAGGTGAGACATCGTACTCAGGCCGTGGAGAAGCTGGGACAGGTTCATCCTCAGGTTCGGGTGAGCTAGTCCGTTCGACTGACGAAGCACGAAGAATACGAGCTTCGTCCTCCGATGGCTTGCGCAAGTTTCTGGCGCGCGAAGAGACAGAAGCAAAAGAGTCATCCGTATGGGCCAGCTTAGGGCGCACGGGAAGCCTTCTGGACTTGTCGAGCTTCGACTTGAAAGACTGAATCGGAGTTTCAGCAAACCCATCCTCGTCTTCGAGTTCACTGATAGCCTCTTCCTCTTCCTCCTGTGGTTCCGGGGCCGGGGCGTTAATGGCTGGTGTATTCTGAGAGGAAGGGCGTTGCAGAAAGTCAAGAGCTGAAGACTTTTGAGGTTTTGTGCTCTGCAACTCCTGGCTGAGATTGGATACAAGATCCTGGTACTCGTTGAGGAGCTTCGGTTTGCCGAAAGTCGCCTTCTTAGGGCTGGCACTTCCAAGATGAAGTGCCTCGTGGGCACCAAAGCCAAAATTGATGCCGTTCTCCTTCTCCTTCTGCTTGACCTTCGATGGGGATGGTTTGGGCTGATCGGCGGACAGTCTGTTGCGGAAGGTTTGCCACTTCTGAAGTCGTTCTCTCTGGACACGTACCCGAGTATCGAGCTGTTCCAGTAGGCCTGTCGAGTGTTCCTCAAGTTCACCAAGCCGACCTTGCTGGACTCTTCTCCACACGCGATCGAAAGGCATGCCCAGGAGTCCATCCTTCTTAATGCTGGCGTCTCCATAAAGCAGCGTCTCCATCCATCGCTCATTGCCAGACCAGTTGTTTCGAAGTGTCCGCCACATTTCCCGTCTAGCATCTTCAGAAATTGTTTTGCCTCCCTCAAGGGCATCAAGTGCTTCTTTTCTTCTGGCAATACCCTTCTCCTTGACATTCAAAAGGTCGGCAAAGTCTCGAAACCTTGAGTTTACGGCTACCTTGCTGTTGAGAATGTGACTGATTGCAACTTTGTGCGCCAAAATCATGGTGTTGAGATCTGTGTTGTCGCTCTTGTATCCGCGGTCCTCGAGCGCAAGTCCGAGCGCAAGTGCTGTATGTTCACCGCTTGTTGCGACCTCTTGGGCAATAACATGTTTGAGAACAGCGGATGAAAATGCTGCGAGAACTTCTTCGAGTCTTTCGCCTCGACATTCGTCCAGCATGGTTTTTCGTACGATGGCATCTCGTCCGAGGACACCATTCTTCTTTGCTTGTTCGAGAGCTCGTAGTAGGGCGGCTCGCAGGTTGACCGATTGCGTTTGGTCAAGAGGAGGGAAGAACGGTTTTAGTTTCTACAAATGTCAGCTTGTTTCTCACATTTGGTTTGATGTCCTACCTTTTTTGTTTCGTCAGGATCCCATAGCGCAAAGAGTTGGAAGAGCGCCCATTCAACGCAGTGAACCCTCTTCTTCAGGCCCTGCGCACTGGAACCACCGCTCGCAAATGTTTGGGCCTTGATACCGGGCCAGTCCTCATGTTGATCGAGGTCCAAAAGATTCAGATTGGTCAAAAAAATCGACAGCGCTGGAGGTCCATGGTGAACGTGAGGACTTGGCGCCGTCGCTGGGGCGTGTTGAGTAGATTTATTGGTGAAGCCGGCCACTAAGCGGGCAGACCGCGTGCGAGGCTGAACTGCAGCCATGGTGACATGTTGAAAGAAAGTGTTTCGAGAGTGAAGGTGCCGTTTATGTAGTTTTTTCGGCAGATATGCTGGTACGACCTGAAAAGGCGGAGTGTAAATAAGGTAAGGCTGATGGTAGAGTAAACAAATCGGAAGACGGCAGAGTTGGTGGAGGTGGAGGTGGAGGTGGAGGGGCTCAACGGCAACAGAACCCTGTCCTGACGGTTTGTGGGGCCGGCGCTACCCTGCACCGAGCGACGACCTCACCCGTCAAGTTCATCGTGTTGATGAAACTGATGGCTTGAACCGCTGGAATATCATTTGGTAATGGGGAGTGGTTTGGGATCTGCACATCATGATTTTGCACTCTTTACCGTGAGTTGGGCATTCTTTCTGAACGTCATAGGAATTCAGCCAAGTGAGGTCTTTTGTTCCTTGCTCACAAATTTCCTGGAAGCAGTACCATGTGCCTGTTTCCCCAAAGAAGATGAAATCCAGCAGATTGTTGATGTGCTCTTCTTCTCCCGAAGCGACAAGCGGTTTGAAATTTTCCATGACTTGGGAATGACCTGTTGCAGGTATTCTGATCTCATAGTTGTGTTTCTCGACCAACTTGAGAACATTCTTTTGCCGAGATTCGTCATTTGTCGCTTCAGTGAGAGCCCTTCGTAGTGACTCCATCTCTTCTCTCATCTCTTGTCTTGCCTGGTCCTCTCTTGCTCGATCTTCTCTTGTTGTATCTTCTCTTGCCCGCTTCTCTCGATCCATTTCTTCTCTTGCCTGTTTCTGTGCCTCCTTGAGCTCATCATTCTCGGTTTTTAGAGCATCTTTCGCTTCGTTTGCCGCGGAAGTAGCGTTCTGAGCAACCTCCAATCTTTGTTTCAATTCGGCATTCTCGTGTTTCAGTTGCTTGATTCTAGTTTCGAGGAGACCTATCTTTACGGCGTCCTTATTCTCTGACGGAACGTCCTCATCGACTCTTTGGCGTTTACTGGAGTGTCCAGCGTCTTCGATGCGCGGAGGTGCGGAAGACATGATCGTGTCGTTGGTAATGCTGAGAGTCTGTGTTGTTACTCCGATGGCGATGGGCGGGGGCAAAATGATGTGAGAAGTTGATGAGTTGTCAGAAAAACGAGGTGACAGGTTTTGTGTGAATCTGAGATCGGCGAGCTGTTAGAGAGCTGAGTCGACTGCCGCGTTAGGTACCAGGCCATGACACTGTTGACAGCTGCCAAGTGGATTCACTACTAGGGAAGAAAAGACCGGTCAATAAGCCCAAACTGCACCGAATTACGGTAAATATTTGCCATAAAAGTTCTGCGCCTGGTATTGGCATAAATCTCTGCTTTAGTACGGAGACTTTTCGCGGCTACGTGATATGAACCGTGTCGCATCGGTCATCATCGCTCAGCTTCCCGATGCCCCTTTGGGTCGAATACATATGACCTACAGGTTAGTTTGTTTCTCCTTATATCACTTCGGAAGATTAATGGGCTGCAAGTCTGATACTTAGACTTGCTCGCCTCTAAGTCTCAACCGCTGAACTGGATCATCTGGATGTTCCAATGTTGTCTCAGGGGTTAGGAGTTTTTGTCTCCTTCGGCACGAAATCTTCACCATCATAACATTGTATAACTTTGTAATCTTATTTCAGCGTGTATCAAGCATCCCTTTATTGCTGTCCCCTAATATTGACCTTGAGAATTACCTGTTCCATCCCATCCCACCTAGCCCTCCAAAGAAGACAAACGAACTCCCAACAAAGATTGACAAAAGAAATATGTAGAAGTAGCTGTGATTGAACTTACCTTTTTATGTTCTTTTTTGTCGATAGCTCTTTCGTGACCAAGCCGGGTCTGCAGGAGGTCAGTAAAATAACCAGCAGTACCACAAACCGCTCAACTTCACACCCATCAAACGATAGTGTACTTCACCTCCGCCGAGTCAAGCTGAGCATCATTAAAGTAGGGCCCATTACCATCCTCCTCCTCTTCCTCCTCTTCCTCCTCTTCCTCCTCTTCCTCCTCTTCCTCCACACTAAGCACAATTTCATCAGGCAAGACAGGCCAGGGGGGGCTACTCTTCGCCTCCAGTATAATGTACCTAAGTCTACCATGATGGACGTCATCCTCAGCCCCAGAGCTTCTGGGCACAGGGCTCCCGGGTTCATCTACCTCGGGAATGGTCTGGAGTCTTCGAGGGAACTCCGCGATCTCAACATCATCGCCCTGGAAGGTAAAATCCTCAAGGGAACATCCGTGATCCTGAGGAGCGTCAATGGAGTTGAAGTAGAAGCCAGAGCAACATCCGCATTCCAGGACATCTTCCAAATCCATCTCGTCATCAGACGCATCAGGGCATTGTTCCTCGAGCCGAACATCGTCAGATTCGTCCTTGTCAAACTCATCCTCTTCGAACTCATCGGCTTCGATTTGACCCTGCTGGTACTCGTCAAACTTACGCTTTCGCAGTCCCGAGCAACTGTCTTCGCTGTCAGAAACTCTTCGAGGAATCGTAAAGGAGACACTATCATCACCCGAGGAGCCACCAGTGTCGGAACTCTCTCCGCTCGACTCCTCAAAGCAGGACTCAGAGACATCAGCCTCATAGTCATCCTCTTGCCAACAGCCGCTGAAACCCTCAAAGTCCTCAGCAGGGAAAATGGGATACTCAAGGGTGAACTCATGAAACGAGCCCTCGTACGTCACATCGGCTGCATCCATCTCAGCATCGCGATTTCCGACAAATTGGTATCCAGGAAGGTATCCGTTCAATTCCGACAGTGTCTTCGAATCTTGCTCAGGGGGAGGGACAGGTGAAAGACGACCATAGACAAAGTTTGCGTCTAGGCCCTCTTCCTCAACATCAAAGACACGATCATACTCAACATCTTGCGGTCCGTTCATTTTGATATCTCGGTTCTCGGCTAAGCGTGTGCCAGAGTAATAGTGATCCCACTCGACAGGGGACGTGACCGGCCGGGTCATAGGAGATCCGGCGGTGGCGTTAGGAAAGGAGACTGTGATCGCAGGCACAGTCATTCTGCAAAGAGAGCCTGAAGGTTAGAAAGGATTTAAAAGTCGGAAATGATTTTTGTAGTGATATTAAAGCGGTGCTTGTTTGCGGAGAGGGTAGTGCTGTTGATTGGGGGTTGATGAACTCTGCGGGATATGAGAGTGGTTCTGATCTAGGATCGCTGTGAGAGTTATATACACATGCGAGATGTTTTAAAGCAAGTAACTAAATTCGACAGTAGAGTGATTCGTTCGCGTGTTGTTCTGGGGAGCTACTACAAGTTCAACGATCACTTCAACCAACAAAGGCGGATTTATCGTGACTCTAAAAGAAGGTGGATGTTCATCCGACCACAACTTCTGAACATGCAATGTCATTCAAATAAACTTCTCGGGCACTAATTAGAAGAGAAGAAATTACAATGAGCGCGTGGACCTGCAAGACATTTGTAGTCGATGTTCAGCCTATGGACTGATTGTTACGCTGAACATTGCTGCTGTTCAGTCTTGGGCCACAATCATACACCAAATGGCCTAAGTAGTGAATTGCTAAAACTATGTCAATATTGAAGCAAGATCCAGGAGTGACATTGCGATTCTCGATTCCGAGAGCTTGGGTCATGATCAAAACTTTAGACCATTTATTAAGATAATAAAAACAACTGGTCTAAGGGCGTGCTAAGGTTATGTAAAGCTTGCCTACGCCTGTCCACAACTTAGATTAGGGGTACCAAGTCTTCTTCCATCCTTAGTCCTGCACCCAGCGAAGGGGATCTTCGTATATCAAATGATCACCGCAACTCATGCAGAATTCTGATTCTAGTACGATTCCATTGTCAAAATCCTCTGTGGGTAAGGACGTAAACTTCTTGGTGAACCAACAGCAAGAGCAGGGATGAGTCGGGTGGGTAAAGCATCGCAACTGCCCATCAGCACTCTACCAATTGTGGGCAGCCCTATCACCAGTAACCCCTTCAACAATAGCCCGATAGCAGTAGAAGTACTTAGAGCTGAAATATGGGTTCTCGATAAAAAACCGCAATACATTTTGTTTTCGAGGATCAGTGTCCCAGTGTTTTTCAACAGAGGCTGCGTCAGGCCGGTCAAAGACTGGGGTGAACAAGTCCACACCAGAACAATTCAGGGCCGGGGAAAAACGAATAAGGTAATAAGGCGACGGCCTCGGCTTTGCACCTGGGGTATTGCATCCACACAGAAGGGAGACCGCACACGCTTTGATCTTGCCAGGATCATTGAGGAAGCTCTGGGCTTGTGTCTCTTCGGAAGGCTCAACGTGTTGTTTCTCAGGCTCGGGCTCCTGTGGTTCTTGGTTTCCCTCCGTTTCGGTTGCCGCACTTTCAGCGTCCTCGGGGGGCTCGCCCACGTTTTCCCTAGACATTGCCAAAAAGCGGCGAAAGTCCAAATGCTGGAAATAGTTAGTTTGCTACTAAGTTCCCAGGAGGGCATCTTCCAAACTCACGTCGACCGTCACCCAAGAAGCTAACATCTCTGAATCGGATGGCATGATGATGGTGATTCTGATGATGATGGAGAAGAATGTGCTGTTGATGTATTGATGTCGATGAGTTGTGAAGAGCGAAGTCTGAAGTCTGAAGCTTGAAGTCTGAAGAACGGAGAATGTAGAATGTAGAATGGAAGTGCTGAGATCACAAACGAGATACGATGGATAAAGACTCACGCGCGGAAGGGAGGAGGTGCGAATGGGTGATGCCCGATGGGTCACTTGTCTCATCATCACCCCTTCCCTGTAGACCTCAAGCAATCTTTTCTCAACGAAATGAAAGTGCCAGTTTCCTAATATACTATACATAAGAAATTCCCTCATACCGCCCATAATGCGAAACCGTAAACACCACAAAGCTCCCATCCCGTCCTTAGCAAAATTCCCAACTCCTTGACCAAGGTCCACATTATCCCCGTCCTTGTCCTTGCTTTCCTCAAGTGATTCTCCTTCCAGTTAGAAAGAACTCCAACCAATTTCCAAGAGTCTTGCCTTCAGGCTCGGGTAGGTTTCTTGTTGACTTCCTCCAATTCGGCCTCCAAGACTTCTACCTCCTCTAAAAGAAGCATGGTCGACTCTCTCCAATACTTCATCACACGGGTTTTCGACTTGAGACGTTTCTTGAGTTCATTAATGTAATCGGACATTTCTCGTAAAGTCTGTGGACGTGGGCTTTTCAAGCTTTCCTCAATATCAAAATCATCGCTGGGTTCCTCTGCGCTGTTGTCTGTACCGGCTCCTACAGAGTTGGAATGCTCGTCAAGGTTGGTCGGCTCGTCGTTGCTGGACCTCACGTCTCTCTCTGGTGTCAATAACTGCGCTTCGGGCTCGACCTCTTTTAGTGGTTGTGTGAGACTACATCTCAGCAGACTAGAAATAGTCCCGTTGAGGTTGCCAGAGTCCTCGATTTGTTGTTGAAAGCTGACCTTGCGGAACTTCCGGGGCGCATCGTCCTCAGAGTCGCTAGACAAGCGGCGCTTGGCCATTTTGATGTGTAGTAGATTGGGAAATGATAAGTGTCTGCAGTGAGCGCATAGTATGTAGGTTAGTGGCATGTGATTATGGGAGTGAGTGGCACAGATTCTGTAAGAAGATAGGATCGGTATTTATACATGGAGGATTTTATTCAATACCTGCTGAATGAATTCACCCATGCGTCCCCTTTCATGTACGACAACTTGTTTGAAAGCATTGGCCTTTCATGCACTGCAATGCTAAGGTCTTTGAGAGCGGAAGCCCGCATAGAGACACATTGAGAGACTCACAGCACTCTTTTCAACCGACCATTCACACGATCTCGCAGCTGGAGACAGAGAAGAATATTTGTGAAAGGAGTCATGGCGAAAAGATTGTCTGCAACCATTTGCCATGTTTGACTAGACCATTCGTGGTGGGCGTCCAACAGATCATGTCTCCTTGATCTGTCTATCATGTGGTCATGCTGATAACATTTCCAAGCGCCTTTCACGGATGAGGACATCTCATATATCATTCACCGGCTGCTCTATGTTAGTATCTGAGCTCGAGTCTACTCGCGCGTAAGTCATACTGCTGAGAACGGCCATCTGTGTGCCGCAGTCGTTCAGAGGACTGTAAATAAGTACAGTATATTGGCCCGCAGATGTTGGGGGAGGCTGAGGCTCATAATACCTAAGCAGTCGAAGAGCGGTTCGTGGTATTACCAGGAGCTTGACGCGGAGGTGGAGGAACTTGCCTATGTCCACCACCATACTGATCTCCACGGAGGAGCTAGGAGGTGGAAAGCCACATCCAGCAGGTCCAGCGGACCATTAGAACAACTAGAAAGGGGCATTGTGGAAAGATAAAGTTAGGAAGAGTCCCCGAGGTTTGTGTAGGCAATGACGGGATACTTGTGGAAAGGGTCCGAACCATGTTCTTGTCCATGCCTAAGGGGGTCTGCAGCATATTCACATCGACAAGTGAGTGAACTGTACCACTAACTGAATAACATGCTTTAAAACTTCAAATCACATTCATCTTGAACTCAAGATAGAATAGATGCTCCACATACCCAAGATGATATATTTGCCAACTCAAACCCCCTTTTCCCCTTCTATCCCTAGCCCCTATCGCATGAGGCACCCAAATCCTCATGGCTCACGTCGCATTTTGATCAGCCCATCTTCCCTTGTCAACCAGGTACATTTTACATCTCCATGGATAGAGCAATGAGGCCTTCGCCCCCCTTCGTCCACAAGAAAGTCAACCAGTGTTCCTTCGCCCAGTGACCGAAGACAAAATGACAGGTCGGGAAAGGTGACTGAGTCTCCAGCAAAACTCAGCAGTGCAGCTCGTCGCTTTTCATCCTCTAGAACAGTGCATAAGAGTGCCAGGTCGTTTATGCTAAGGTCGTCATCGTTGATATCAAGCGGCAAGTCGATGGCGGCCGAGGCGAGGCGCTGGAATCGGCGAGAAAGGGGATTGCCTCGTCCTTCTTCGGGCTGGGGAGGCTCCAATCTTTCGACTTGTTCTTCGAGTCTATCGGCGATAGATTCGAGATGAGCGGTGGCGCGGAGAGCAGTGTTTTCGGCATGTAGACGCGCGATCATGGTGAACAACTCTCGAAGGTCGCGTCTGGACTGTTCGGAAAAGGAGGTCTCGTCAAAATTCGCCTGCTTATTCGTCAGTTCCAGTAGCATGGATAAGACGTTTTGACATACTGTCCCAGAGCTATTGCTCTTTAAAACCTTCTTGTCGTTCGCTTGACCAGGCATCATGTATGCGTCTTGATGGATGACAAAAGATGTTGAACATAGCGGAATGAACAACATAAACAAAGTTGAGGGGAGATTATTACGACCTGAGCAAACAAATAGTTGGTTTTAAAGTGTTTGCCCATTCTGGTTGTATCTGTAGGCACCTAGAAGCCTTTGAGAACTGTCAGTCACTGCCACTTCCACTAGGTACCTTCCATCTCTGCCAGACACTGAACCACGATTAGCACTCGGCTCCTGCCGCAAGAATTTCTTGACATTTTTCCTTCCACATCATCCAAATTTCAGCCTTCATCGACATCCAGGAACGTCCCCCTCTAACGCCAGTTGAGAAGAAAGATGGCGTCGCATCCAGCTACTCCCTGCACTATCGCAGGCTCCGGACAGGATGCTAACGGTGACTCAGTTGTCAGTTTATGAACCTCCCTGTCAACCCGGGTTATTAACTAATATTCGAACAGGAGTCTCTTCGCCAGCGCTTGCATGAGGCCGAACATACCATCACCGGGTTGAAAGCCGAGCAGAAAGCGACGCAAGACTTCTTTGTTGCCCAGAATGCGGAGCTCAAGAAGGAGAACAACCAGCTGCGGGAAGACATGACCGCGCTTCGATGTCAGCTGGCTGGAACCGCTAGCAATGAAGCCACTCCAGGTGCCAGCGCGACAATGAGCTCACAGGACTTGAGGAAACTGCAAGGAATTATCCAGGAAGTGAGACGACACGGCAGCGAGCTTCATCAGAAAGCACGAGAACTTCGCGACTCTGTACTTCTCAAGCAAGAGGAGTTTAGTCGAAAGCGACGCCGCACGGATTCAGACACCGACAAAAAGGAAGAAGAAAATCCGGCAATGCAATTTGTCCAATCTTGCAAACAATACAACAACCAGACAATCCGTTGCTCCATTACCTTTTGCGGCGCACTCAAACCCTTCATCGAAGACCTAAGTCGTGCACAAGAATCACAATCGTCATTGTCTCACGAAAAGATACGACGAAATCTGGCAGACTTTGTTTACTCCGGAACTAAATCTGGATGGCATTGTCTTCGAGAGGTCTGTGAGAAAGGCAAGCTCTCCGATGAGATCAAAAACCTTTCCGCTTGCCCGCTCCATGGCCCCTATTGCGAGTTTCTTATCTTGAAGCACTTGAGCAATAAGGGTAACTTCAGTTTCGCATCATTCAGTGACATCGAAAATTCCACGAACAAAATCGCCTAGTCCGCTCAGCGCCGTGGCTTGACGAAGGATTCATTCGGGTGCGACAATGGTTAGGGCATCGGAGACAGCAAGGTCACTTGAGATATCACAAAATAGTGGCTAGAATCCTACCATCTTATCTCACTTGTGCTTCTCGTATTCTGCACCATGAGGTTCCGTCTCAGCTATCGACCTGGTACAAAAGGTTGAGAACAATGTACCCACTTATAAATCTCCAATAGTCGGGATTTTGCTGAAGGAAATGAAGATTCGACTATTAGAATGTTAGGAATACCAATCGCGGTTGGTCCCGGAAGAGTCTCTTTGGTGACGGATCTTCTCAAAGGCTTCTGTTCATCCTTGAGGGGATTGAACAAGGTCACAACAAAAGCACAAGAAAGTCTAAGATTCGCCGGAGACACTCTTTCCGACCTGAAACTCTTATGTTGTATTCAAAGCTCAATGGCTATTCGCTGTGTGATAAATCGCTGTAGGAATACTCCAAAGCCTCTCCAACCCCTCCCGAAATTTGTGTTTCTCCATGCCCGATAAAGTGCATTTGCATAGTCCCAGCTGCAGAGCTCAAATCTCTTTGCTTGCTCTATAGATCCAGACCAAGCGTTCACAATATTTGTTTATCTGCCCCTTTTGGGCACCCTGAGCTTCGAAATCATGATCTGTTCTTGTTTTCCCGATGACTAAAGCTGAGTTTTTGATATCGTCCCGGAACTTGTCGCTTACTCGACTCAGGCGAATTGCTGCCAAACCCCGACAACTCAGAGTGTCTCTCTCTGTGTGGGGTTTATTCTTTAATTGCCTCTGTTCCAAAGAGTGGCCGGTTAGCTGAGTGAAGTCATTCTCTGGAGGTGGTGGTTCCAGTGTTGTGGTACCTTCATCTGCATTGACAGAAATGCTATCTTCGTCATCGGTAGGATCGTCATCGGTGGGATAGTCATCGTTTGTATCACTTTGGACTTAGTTAGATACTTGTTCCAAGGAGTTGATATGACCTTCGTACAGTGTTTCTTCTTTGTCCTTCTTTATCTAATAGTAGGCTTCTGTGGTGAATCAGCAGAAGGTCAAGACGGCTTATCTCATATCATTACGCTTTTTCCTCATAGTGGTACGTTGGCGTCTTTGTTTTCGTGAGTTCCGATGTTTGTGGGTTCGAGGCATTGTTGAGTCTGGAGTTATGGCGGTGACTGTTCGTGGGCAGGAGATCCTTCTTAGGTCTGGTCGAGGGTTCTGGTATGTAGTGGTTTATAAATGATGTGCCTGATGATAAAAGGGGTTCAAATAGATGAGTCACGAAAGAGATGTTACCGTCCAATGGTTGATTGTAAGATGGATGCAATTAAAGTCCAACTTGCATGGCGTTGAGGGCCAAAAGCTGTTCTCTTGCTTTTGGGCTTTTCGAAGGAAGGTCTTTTGCAGACACTTGCAGCTACAGGCAGCTTCCATCCTCGCCATCAAGCTCCACCTCCAACTCGTAGTTACCTGCAACTTGCAACCTCCACCTGTGTTGGCACTCATATGCCACTTCCCAACCACGCGAAGCGACTTTTCTGCAACCCTCACCATGTGTTCGTACTTTCGCAACAGAGAAGAGGATCGCGACTGAAGAGACGATGGATCGCAATACTCCAGCTACGGCAACGGCAACGTAGCTCCCCGTAAGTGTTAACCTGCTTTGCACTCACCTTGCTTGGTCGCTCATTATTACTTACAGAATGGGGCCAACACGATGATACTCCCGAATGGAATGATGAAGCTCACTCGCGCTCTTACGCCAACGACCGAAGTCCCGCATAGGAGCAGGAATATCGTCAAGTTGAAACCGTAATGGCCGAAAATGCAGAGCTTCGACGAGACCTTATGCGTGCACAGAGGACCAGTCTCCAACTTCTTGACACGCAAAAGGAATCGACTGAGCGCATCCGTGAGCTCCAAGACAGCAACTACGGCCTGCAAGAGGAAGTCGCAAATATGCGTGCCCAGCTTTCGTTTGCCACTGGGAACATCATCAATGAAATACAAGACAAGGTCGATGCTGCAACATCCGCAGGCTGTACCATACGGGCTCTTAAGCAGCAAATCACTGAACAAACCGAGACAATCGAGAAGTTGAAGATCCAGAAAAGGAAGGCAGTCACAGAGCTCAGTCAAGTTAAACTCCAGATGAAGAAAAAGAAAACGTCCTCCAAATCAACAAAGTCAGAGAAGAAGAAGAAGTCTGGGAAACCTAGCGCATCTTCCGACGCCAATGCAGCTGTTGCTCCCTCTCTGATCCCTGCCCCTGGCCAGGCCCCATCTCTTGTACCGTCAGCCCAAGCATTGGTTGGAAAGGAGTTGGTTGAAGATGTTATGCGCGATCGCGTGATCCGTGATGCGCATCTCACTTCTGAAGTCGAGGTTCAGTTTCAAGAGGCTCTTTTGAAGGCCAACGTCGAGAGGAACCTGCGCGGTTTCATTGATCGAGGCAAGACTGGTTGTTACTACTGTTTTCACGAGGTTTGCGAGAAGGGACCTGATGCCTGGGTTGAGCAGCGCTGGTCTAGTGGTGGATGCAAGCTCGGGAGCGACAAATGCAACTTCTTGGTCAAGGCGGTCAGTGTTGGGTTTCATAGGAAGCTGCAGATCTACAATCCTGCCGTGCTTTATGGTTTCTGAATTACTGTTGAGTTGCGATACACTTCAACTTCTTACCGGGAGGAGCTAGGCAGGCGGCGGAGTCCCGAAATTGTGGATCTACCACACCGACAGACACCGGACCTGAACCCCACTATGCCGGAAGTTAATTGACCTCACTTGTTGAACTTGAAGCTGTTGTTGTTAATCCAGCCGCCACGAAACCTCACATGTGAATGGAATAATGAATGAGGGTTATCTATCATCAGAAACTTGTTACGTGCTAGTACTTGGGAGAAGAACTAATCTTGCCGCCAATCGCTGTCTAACATGTCCAGAAATAGCTATCCAACTCAAACGACACAAGGTATCCAATCTAGCCCAGTCGCGACTGACCACGCGGACATGACACACACCAATGATGACAACAGATGCCATCAAAAAGAGATCATACCCCCAAAATCTCTATCGAATTATATAACCACTTCATCACAACCCCAGACCAAAACTGGCCAGCCACTGCAGCGCTCGAGAAAGACCGCGACCTGTCGCAGGGACATTTGGCTCTGCATCGTGAATGTCGCTATTAGTCTTGGTGGTCAAGTCGTAGCGATATGGCAGCTCTGATGGCTCACTGTCTCGGACTCTCGGGGGCGTTTGGAGTGGACGATGGATCAGGCAGCGGGAGCTTTCATTGAAAGTAAAGAACACGGGCTCGGGGTGTGTCCAAGGCCACAAAGGCTTGGGATCAACGTCTTCAACTACAAGGGGAAAATGGTCAGTAGGAGGTTCAAGGAGTGGTCGGGGGACTCACGCCAGAGACGCCAATATTCTTCGTCGATGAGATAATATAAGTGATCAGTCTCCGCCTCCGTCCAATCTTTTGCTTGGACCATCGGGAGAGCACTCATAATTCTCGCCTGAGCTTGACTTCGCACTGATTTCTGCAAAGCTGGGTCATCGGGCCGTGCCCAAATGAGATACGCATTGACATACTCTGTTCTTCGAGATTTCGTGGGGTTATCGCCCGGCCACGGCTCCGAGAAGGCTTTGGCCCTCACAGTTGCTATAGGAGGCTCATAGTCGAGATGAGGGACTAGCTTGTGCTTGTTGAGATCTTCTGTGGACGCTATGGCTTTGTCGGAAAGGGAATCGGGCCAGCTACAGTTTGTAGGTGAGGACATTGTCGAGCTGGAGGTTGGGACCAAGTAGTAAGTTCGGAGTTGAGGATAAAAGGAAAGACATTTTGAAGAGTTGAAGATGTCTTTTATTGAGCGATCTGTCATTGCTTTCAAGTGACAGTGGAGTTTGGAAAACTAGGTACGATAGGTACCCTTAGGTAGCGAGCAGGTGCAGGAGCATTTGGTGCCTTCCGTTTGCTGAGCCGTTTGCCGTTTGCCGCCCACATCAACCAAATTTCGTCCACCTTTCATCTTCACTTCCGTTCCCCACCAAACGCGGTGCTTCTGAATTCTTCCCCATTCACCTCAATCCTCATCTGCACAACAAAAGGTGCCTTTCCATCGCGATGCCCAAGTCTGCTCCTCCTCCTCGTCAGGGCAACTTCCGATCCAACCCCTACGGAACTTGGATCTCTCCCGGCTTCACTAGCCAAAGCAACTATTACCCAAGTCCTGCATCCTCTCGCTTTGACGACCCGCCTTTCGGTATGCAGCCACGCGCCTGGGGCCCTCCATCTTTCGGGTCTCCCGAGGACCCTTATGATGTGATCGTCCCCCCTCCTGAGATGACCCGCGGCCAGCCGCTGGCCCCCGCTTGCCCGCCTCCTCCATGCGGTGCTAGGACTACTGAGAAGCTCTCTCGAGAGGTCCTTTTTGGGGAACTCCCGAAATCTACCGTGGTTGAGAACACACAAGCCCAAGAGTCCCAGCCTGCGGAAGACTTCAAACCTGCTCAGGATATCAAGCCCGACCAGGAGTTCCGGTCCCTACAGACCCAACCGCTTCCGAGGCAGAAGCAGCCTCTGAAGCGAGTTGACAGCATGGTCCTCCAGGCTGTGACTCGCAACAGCAAGAAGGCCCCCGACCTTCGTGTCGTCAGTAACAGCTATGGAGGCGGCACTCAGTGCAACGTCTACAGCAAAGTACCCTCCGTCTCCAAGGCGATCTCTTTCAATGTCAATGATGAGGAGGCACTCCTCAAGGCCTACCGCCACGTCAAGGCGATGAATCCCGGTGCTCCAGTTGGAGGCATCATGTTCAGCATTGGTGCAAAGGGCGACGCCAGCCGCGTCGACAACATCAGCTGGGACTCTTTCGCTGGTCGCTCTGGTCTTGGTAGAAGCTTCTCCATGAACCTGAATGGTGACAAGATTGAGGTCTTCCGCCGTGAGTCTGATTCTGCATTGTGCCACTGATTCTATTGCATACTAAAGATTGATAGCCCGACGCTAAACAGTGCGTCCTCATCTCTTCATCATGTCTAGCATCATGTATCTTCACAGACGTTGAGTTGGAAAAAGCAAAGGCCATGAACGAGAATATGAAGCAGTATACGAGGGGAAATGGTATGCATTGTAATGAAAGATGTCAACAATCATGGGATAGCGAAGTACCCGGGGCTGGATAAGTTCTTGCTAGGAAGAAGATTCTGCTGTTGTACCAATATTGATCACTTCTCGACTTGTGCCGTCAAAGAGAAAACTACCTGGATTATGATAAAAGGTCACCAGAATATGTTGGTTGCTTTCATCGAAGTGATTATTATTTGACATTCTACGGATCCCCAAACATAATTGCTTCGAGTAATCCTTAAGCCAGAAAAGAAAAAGAATAATCGACAACAAGGCAATGGTCCAAGAAAGGTTCAAAGAACTAGCTTCATGACTGTTACAGAAGTCGGCACATAAGACACAGGCAACGGAAGCACTCTACAAGACGTAAAACTGCCGACGGAAACAGACTTTTCATACTGGTTTCTTTTCTGGGCCCTGGAACTTGTCGCTGTCTTCGGAAGCAAATCATCTACCAGGCTCAGCTTTTATCCCCTTCCATAACCAGAACCACCCCCAGCTGCCCAGTTCTTTCCGCCCTGTCCTTGCGGTGCATATGAACGAGATCGTCCGTAGCCCCCACGACGGCGCTGTCTTTGCTTCTTGGTCTTGAACTTACGCTGGCGATCCTGGTATCGGACTTGATCCCTCTTTCGTGAATGACCACCTGCAGCCTCAGGAACGTCGGGGACGTGTTCAAGTTGTTCCTCCATCATCTCTTCGTCAGATAACTTAATTGGTGTAATTTCCCCGTCTTCAGAACCACCTATCTGTGGATCTTGTGCAGGACTTGGATCGGGCTGTTTAGCGAAGGGGTTTTGGAGGTTCCCCTGCGCTCTGTCAGGCTGGGTGAGAAACGCCTGGAATGGATTGAGCTGATCCTTGTGATGAGCTATGTTCTGGGTCAAGTCACCAGCGTCGGGGTTGAATGACCGACGGATAGGACTGCCCTCTGCTTTGAAATGTCCCCTTGGCTGAGGATTCCTAGGAAAGCCACCCAAAACTGAATTGTTCGGCAGAAAGACGTTATAGGCTGGGACTTCCAGTCTATCATCCCGACGATACAACATATCGCTGTGGGCGGCAGGCAGGTTTACTGCAGCATTGCAGAGCTTGCTCCTCTCAAGCTTCATCCAAACCCATTTGTATTCCTCCAATAGCTCCTCCGGCCTTGAGGGGTAAGTTCTCGAGGTCTGACTCGCGCAATATTGTAGATGATGGACATCACAAGAGATACTCAGCCCACAATCATTTAGACGGTCCAAGGCGCCGATTACGACATCTAGGTCTCCAGTACGAACCAGCATAACATCAGCTGCTTTCGGTACTGCGCGCAGCCCAGCCTGATCCGCTATCAATGCCAGAAGCTTGGCGTGAGGTGTCGTAATGAAGCCAGCAGTTTTTGATCGTTCTTGATGTAAGCGAAAGCACTCTAGTACTGGAGAAACTGAGAAGTTGCCACAGCCGAGGTGGCTCAAGATACTGGCCTCTTCCGTAGAGAACCCTTTGCCGTCGTCTGCCCGACAGATGACTGTCCATCTGACAATGATGGGGAGGAATCGGTATCCATTTGTCTCCTAGAACAAAGGATGTGCCATGATTCTCTTGAGCTTATCGCAGAAATGGGAGGTCCACAAGGGGCTTCGCTTCATTTGCCCACCATGCAAAAAGCTTTCACTACCGCTATTGTCAAACTCGAAGTTGTGATAGAGCGATAGTAGGGAGAGGGGATCCATGTTGCAGAGATGAAAGGAGGTCTCGAAGACGGAGGAAAGGCAAGTACCGCGATCGGGCAAGCGAAGTATTGCAGCCTTGACTAAACCACTCTCCCAGGATGCGTCCAGCTCATCTTCCTGAGCCTGGCTCCAGGTGTGAGAGTCGATAAGTTTTGCCAGCTCGTATTGCTCTTCTTCCCTCATTCTTTCCCTGCTGATGGTTGCGGATTGCCTGTTTCTCTCCGTGGCAAGATGGACTGAGTTTCGGTAACTCTTGATGAAGTCCGCGACAGCTTGACTCTCATATGGGTCGGGCGATGCCAAATCATTCCCATGGCCGAGCTGTGGTCTGTCGATAGCTCGGTATGGAGAGCCTCCATGATCGCTGGGAATATACTCATCACCCATCCAACTTTGGTGGTTGTCTCTTTCATCACCCAGTGCTAGCGCTGGCGATGGATATCGCCTCTGGGGTAGACGGGGAGCATTCTCCGCGGCGAGAGTCTTTTTATTCTTGGATCCTCGAGGTCTGCCTCTCCCTCTACGTATGGGAGGGACTTGTGCTTGAGAAGGAGTAGACGCGCTGTCATTCACAAGGTCGATGGGAAGAAGCTGGCTCCCGTCTCCAACCTCCGCCTGAGTGTGCTGGCTCTGGGGAGTTACAGGTAGCCCCACGCCCAGTGAGCTTTCGCCTGGCGGCGGATGACTTTCGTCCATTCTTTTCCTTGTTCGTAGTGATTGTATTTGATCAGTCCGTGCGTGCTGTTGTGGGATTCGAGGCGGATGTTGGTGGTGAGGTTGTGAAAGGAAATCGAAGAGAGAGGCCCACCCGTGAGGCGGCTTCACCAGGCTTTGGCCTAAGGCTAGGTAGGGGCCGTGCTGCGGTATGAATGCATCGCAGCCCAATTTCACAAATGAGCTCCTTCATAACCCAAGTTAGCGGCTGTTACCAGCCAAAGTGTTACTGAGGACCCTGGTAACCCGTCTTGGCCTTCAACGATACCTTAGTGTCAACTTGGAAGGGCACTGATGAATGGGGATAGTCCACGCTGCAATCGTTTCCACAGCGGTTTGTTCATCAAGATGGCGAAAGTGCTTGATTGGAGACCGAATAATTAACCTCTTTGGGCTCAACAAAGCAAATGGATGTTGAACTCTTGGCATGGAACTTACGGAACAAAGAAAAAAAGGCTGATGGCGGATGCTTGTTGCTCAGCATCAACACGCAATGACGATTGGCAAACATGATGAGTATGTGAGATCATTATATTGCCATTTCATGTTTTTACACGTTTGGCATGCTGATCTCTGACGTTGCCTGTTTGGTCTTTGGCCTGATTGACTGTTGTCTCCTCCAGAAACAACTCAATGACCATGTAGGCCGCGCACTCAATCTCCGCAGACGAGTATCATAGCCAGAAATCACTTCTGTGAATTTGAAACGCCAGAAAGAACAGAATGGAACTTTCTTCTCCGTTCCCTCACTTCTGGAATACTATCAAAACGCCGATGGGTCTATCGCCTCGCTGCTCAGTACCTACCTAGGCTCTCAGGTGCTGTTACCTCGTATATCGGGACCTGGCTTTATATGGACGATGTACCACCAGCCGACGCCCTCTCCCCATACTGATATGGCTGAGTCTACCCAGAATCACTGATGCGTCCCTGAATTCATCACAGAGTCATTCCATCGATATACATTTCAAGAGCTGCAACAAACTCCAATGAACGAACCAGTCAGAGCAGAGTCGACGACAAGGTCTAACCACACTTCAGGCACCATTCAAGGACCCAGATAAGGAATTATGGCTCCTTTTGACCGACGCGCATCGCAACTGTCATTTTTGGCAATTGGGTATGAAGGGTTCTGGCATAACGCAGCCCTCGGCAGACTCAGCAGACTCAGTAGACTCATACAACTGGACATTGAATGTCCACGGCAGAGACAAGTCTATGGTATCAATACTGCGCCGTGATATATGCTGCCCAAAGTCTCCTGCCGGCAACTACAAGGGCTTTGTTTATGCTGGGCCTACTTCAGAAGAGCGACGGGAATTCTCGTACGATTTGCAACAATGTCGACCAAGGCCTAGCATGCTTTTGACAATAAGCACGAGATCGCCGAGATGGGCATCCTGGAAAACACATAAGCCAGTTTTCTTTGATGATACAAGATTATTGTCACGGATGGACAGGGAGTGATCATTCATGAGACCAAGTCCTTTGTTCCCAACCAACAAGTGATCCCTGCTCCCACCCACCAACGTCTAGACAAAGAATGATCAATTTGAATGACCCTGATGGCGACGGAGATGGCAAGACCCAAATAAAAGTAGTTAGTACACATCAGTTCATTGACAAGGGAAGAGACTAACAATAGTCTAGTACTGCAATCATTCCCAAAGCTGTCACCACAACATTGGCGCCAACTTCAAGAGCCATCTACTGGTGTTCTTATGGCTACTAATTTGTTTCTCTTATTTCTGGATATGCTTTTGAAATCGACTTCCTGAACTGTTCAAAAGGTTTAGATTCATACTCATGATATCATGAACGATGAGTGTTCTGGAGGCGTCCCATCGCCACTTGCAGCATCTCACGTCAACACTATACTAAATCGCAAAGAGAGACGATCTGGCGGATTGGTGAGGCTCTGCCTTGGTAATTCTGGTCTGCAAATTGCTGAAGTTTCTTTGTTCTACTAGTACTAGCTTTCGAAAGATGTATAATACCCAGCCATGCTCCCCCAAAGTCTGGGGCCAACTAGACAGCAATATCAGTACTCATCCCCACCAGCAAACAAAATGGACTGGGACTTGTACCCTGTCGCCCGCGATCTTAATGATTTCCTCGAAGAACCTACAAGTGAGAGCATCTTCGCCCACGTCCAGTTCAGGGCAGCTGAGGGAGACATCATTGAGATCCCGGCCGAGTTGTTTAGGTGGAGACTTGAAGATGCCTGCAAGCTCGTTGTTGTCGTCGCGGAAAGCAAAAAGGCAATGATGGACAAGAGTCTGATGCCTAAAGTTGGCACAACCGTACGGGAAGCTTTAAGTACTGGACAACCGGTCAGATCGGATGTGGTAGTCTATACGTACAGCGAGCTTTTCACTCTTCTCAAGAGCTTTCGAGACCAGAATTTCTGGAACCAAGCTTCCCAGCTCTTTTGCCTTCGGTACACAGCGTTCCTGATGGACGTGGACCCTGATTTCAGTGCGGAATTTGTCCTGGCACTGAACGCTGCGACCATCTTCACCAAAACATTCAACCAGCAGAACCCAGCCATCACTACGAGGCTGGTCACCATGTCGCCTGAGCCCATCCACCCATTCATCTTGAAACTGTTCCAGCGATTTGACTCCGTCCGGTTCTTTGCAATAACCGAAATTGAAGACAACTACGCCCCCCGGCATGTTGATTCGCGGAACATGAAGAAAGCACTGCGTAACATCAGGGAGTGGATCGAGCGACATGGCAGAAATCAGAAGAATACCATCATCACGTTCTGCGGTGCGGATATTATGCCTGATGAATGGCGCGGAGACCCGTTCATCGAAAACTTCAGACAGATCCAAGTGATCCACAATGGGATTCTAGGCATCATCCAGTTCAGTAACGAAGATATGCTGATTTCCTTTCCCGAGACCTTTGAGACCGACTTCAAACTTGAGTTTTCTGGAAATGTACACATAGTAGGGAGTCTTGTACGGAAACGACGTATCTTGGATCGGCAGACTGGTCACGAAGTTGAAGCCACACTGGTGCTGTCGAAGCGAGAGCGCAAAGCCCAGATATCCGCGGCGTCATGGTTCTACCTCGAGGACAGGCTTGTGCGGTTCTATGCACCCTATGATTACACTACGTCTCCCGAGGTCGACTTTCCTCGTCGCATGAAGTTTGCCTGTGAGCAGATCGAAGGATTTGTCGCGGCATGGACGGATCTAGGAAACTGGCCTGATGAAACGCTTGACATTCTTAGCCATATCTTGAATGTCGAGAACGCGATGGCTAACGACATTGCTCTCCCTCCTAACACAGTTCCTTCTGCCACAACCGATGGGGATAGCATTGATTATTATCATATCAACTCTGCTCTCGATCGAACCCAGCAACGCTTGCAGCTCCAAGGCCTCATCGGGCTCAATTATACATTTGGTACAGCCATCCCTGCCAACCGTGAGAGGTTCTTCCACGGCCTTAACCGGGTTACAAACTACATTGGTAAGGCCGCATATGCCACGGCACTTGAATCTACGCCAAAGCTCAGTCAGCTCAAGATGCACCTGCTTGCGGCTCTCTGGGTCGGTATGAAGCAACTCATCCAAGTCGACTGGCGAAACAATGACGAAGATGTCAGCCGGGAGGTTGACAGCCTTATTGGCTTCAGCAGTACCGCCGCCATTGCTCGGTACGGCACGCTGTGGTCCAAGCTGGGCTTGATGGAGGCTCTATGGTCGAAGCACGCTTCAGGATTTTGTCCCGATAGCACTGCTTCACAGATCATTGATGGCCGCATCACAGCCTCTACGTTCGCGAGGTCAACGTGGATGAGCTACAGGCAGAACATATCCGCTTTGGCAGCCAGTGAAGGTGCTGCAATGCCGTCTGTCGATGGCTTCTTCCTCAGAGACTTTGTGATCTCGGAAGATGATTACGACCAGCTGTGTCGGGACTTCATAAAGGTGTACTCAAACCAGATCGGAATAGTTACGATGAGACGCGGCGACGTTTTGCACATAAAAGACTTTGCATCTGGAGAACGGCTCGATTGCACGGCCGATGTTCTGAATCTGGTCGATTGGGCATACATCGCTGAGAAGGAGAATGACTCGCGTTTCCTTGGATTCTATACCACAGCATCTCGAGTCTCGCAGAGGACTAGAACTGAGATCTCCGACTGGAACTGGATCCCCGCTAGGCTCTGGGCAGACTGGAACAATGAGGTGCAGGGGGGGACGGAAGCTTTCAAGACGCAAGGGGCCACTGGCCCTTCACGTCGGGTTTACAAGTCTCACCGGAATCCCGATGAAGTTCAGAAATGAGTGTACTCTTTACTGGCGTGTGTAAGTATATTGTTCTTCGTGGGTGTACAGGATGTAAGGAATGATTGTAAGGCCTTTGGAAACGGGACGGCGGGTCTGAGTTTGAGTCTGGTTGAATGTTTATGGTTGTCGTTTATTTGGATAGCTCATGTAATGCCAGTATTGTATAGGCCTTGGGTAGTTAGAAGTTTGCGTAGTCTGGGTTTTGATAGATTCCAAAATGAGTGAAGGTAAAATGTTTGTATTCAAAGGTGAAGTAGAATCGGTGAATGTGATGTAGATAAATCCAACAAAGCTTCGTGTCAAGCCAAGCGCAACCACTACATCGACAGCTTGCCGTTGTTAATGATGACTTCTTAGGGATTGAGATTATTTGGGTTGGGAACGAGGATAATGAGACCAGTCTGAGTGACATTTGCCCGAGGACGCCATGGACGAGGATGTCGCTGGACTCTTGTGGAAGTCGAAGTAAATGACATAAAGCATTTGTCAAAAAGGTATAGAAGTCTCTCGAATACTGTGAGCGACAGATTGAGATCATGTTCAATTCTTTAAGTTGCTTGATGGCCAGTCGAGGCTCAGCAATGTCTGTCTGCTCTGAGGGTGGTCACGTGACCTGATAGTATTCTCACCATGCGATGCGGTCTCGGCTCCAGAAAGTAAACAACAGACAAGCGCCTACCATAGTAGACATCTCAACACAACAACAATGGACCAGCAACTGGACACAGAAATACGAAATGTTCTCGAATTAGTGCGCGGCTCTTTTTTGCGCACAAATGAAACGCCTCTCGAAAATGCCATCCAAGAACTCAGAAGGGTCACTGAGTCCGCTCAGAATGCGACAGACTCATATTACTCCAAGCGGCTGCTCAATGAGAAACTCGTGAGATATCAATCCGAAGGAGATGATCAGTCTCGCCTTGAGGATATGATGCATCGCCTTTAGAAGAGGCTTGATGACTTTCCAGATCGCAAGCAGTTCAAAGAGATGAAGCAGCAACTCGACAGCCACTCCAAATACCTGAAGGATTTGAAGACAAAGTCGAAGAAACAACGCAAGCGCAGCATCAAGCTCCACAGCAGTAAACTTCCGGTGAGTCAGTGAAAGAAATATACGCAGTGTCATGGCTAACTCGGTCACAGAAGCATCCTCAAAAGCCCGTCATTCCGGCACGAAAAGGGTTCACGCGCAGAGGCGCCAACAAAAAGAAGACCCTCAACACTGATAGACGAAGCAAGCGCCTCGAGGTCACCAAGCGACAGCTTGAGAAGGAAAATGTTTCAGCGCTTTATGAAACGAGCAGGTTGCGACAGGAGCTCCGAAAGGAGAAGAGGGCTTTGGCAAAAGAACGATCTGAGAATGCTCGAAAGAGTTTGGAGATTGACCTTTTACGAAACGACAACAAGAACGCCTATCAGACCCTGAATGAGACTACGACCGCTCTCCGAGAGGCTCAAGAGCGATGTCGTGAGCTTGAAGCTTCTCTGCAATCACAGAACGAGGCTACCCAGACAGCCCAAGATCCATACACTGGAGAATCTCCCGTCACCTTGGACGAAAGCTTCGATGAGGCCGTTGATCTAGATAATATGCTACCCTCAACGCCGTGCTCTCCTGTCCGAAACAAATCCAACGAGTATGACCAAAACATTGCCACACCGCCACCAAGCCAAAAACGTCGCTCTTCGATCAGGGCTACCGCCGCAACACCGCCAGAGACCCCTGCGGCTGGCCCTTCGAGCAACATAATACTGCTTGCTGGTTGTTTCCCAGTCGTGGAAGACGAGAACTTCGATCTCGAGACGGAGGAGATCATGCTTGACCATCTGAAATCCGACAGAGTCTTCAGGCGCTTCAAAGAATTCCTGAAGTCCGGACACGAGAACTCATGGTTCTGTGTTGAAGACATTGTCAAGTATGGATACAGCTTTGGTTCATGGAATGACAACATCTGTGAGAATGGACAACATAATGGTGTTCGCTGCAGACAGGTCAAGTTTGCTGTCGTCGATTCTACCAGACATCTTTGCTTCAAACGCGATGAGAGAGAGTGTGCGAACTCCTGGCAGGGCTGGGATGGAGGCGAAATGGGTTGGTAGGACAGTTGAGTTTTTATGTCATATTGAGGGACATGTCTGTTGAAAGCCGAGATGTCTGGACTGTTATGGACTGGTATATTGCTGTTGTGGACAATGGAATGTTAGGCATGGTCATTTCAGGGGGTTCACTTAATACGCTTGTGACACCCCTAGCTACCTCCCCAGGTGTATTTGTTACAAATATCTCACAGATGCGATGAGGATAACTTGAATTTGCGAAATAGCCCGTACAAAACGCTGTAAATACGGTCGCTATGCTCATATCCAAACTTTTGTTAAACGCTGTCCCAATAATATCGATACAAGAAACCCCCCAATCCGAGATGCTAAGACTCAATCCACAACAGCCATATTGACGGCGCTCATGGTCTCTAGATAAAAGAATGTCTCTCCTGGAGTGGGCAAGCCTGCCTCGAGGTCAAAATTTGTCAGTCAAAGACTGGAAGGTACTCGCGATCTGAGGGTTCATCTTGTCCTGGGCTGTCGCTTCCATCATCCATGCCTCCGCAGTGACGTTTCGTAGGTCTTTCTTCGGGATATGAACTCTCGATGTATTTTCTCCTTCGGGCACCCAGTGTCCAGGGGTAAGGTAATGGGCTGATACTATTGCAAGCGTCGAGTGGCTTGTCATAGAGTTGCCTCAGCATTGAGTATCCTCTATCGAACTTCTCTCGGCATTCGACAGTATCATCGGGATACCACGGCCACACTTTCTGTTGCAGGGTGACATCATTCGGTGCTTTTAGACCTAATAACAGACAGTGAGTATCGTGTTCCAAGATCAGAGGGTAGAGGGAGGGTCAACCGTTGTAACGCCACATGAAGAAGTCGACCGCAAGGTCTAACTCTCGCTTCTCTCGATATGATCCGATCGTGGACAGCGATCTTCCCGTAGAAGACTCCAGGATAGCTTGTGTTCTCTGGCGCATCTCCCACTAATTGACGGCGAAGTTCTTCTAACGGAGCCATCGCTCGAAGAGCAGGAACATGTAGTGGCGTCTTTGCTGTGTAGTTGGATTGTCTCCGGGGAACAGATTGACTCTTGCAAATGGCCTGTTTGAGCTCCTTGGAGGAGTCTGGGGCGGGTTCTTGAGGTAGTCTGCAGGCCTTGCTTCTATTTCTCTTGGTTGATTTGCGCTGATGCATTCGTCAAAGGCGTCCTGCCCCTCCATGATAAACGAGTGGTACCTAAGTCAAAGAATGAAAATGATTCTGTAAATGTAAAAGTCCGTCCCATTAGTGAATGTTTGGAAGTTGAACGGGACAAGACTGTCGAGACACAAGCAAATTAAAAAGGAGTCGCGCTCGTACCTGCCTCGTGTACTAAAGTGACACGTGCTTTTAATCGATACCAGTTTCGCTTATTGAGAATGGAAGTCTGGTGGACCAATTCAATACTTGTTTGTCGTCTTTATTGTATACAGTGCATTCAAATGGAATTACACTTATCTTCGTCACTCAAGCGGTTTAACTGTCTATTTGGCGCACATTGAGCGTTCTTCGTCCTGTGCAACCAATTCTTTGGTGCCAAATCCATCACTACTTCACTACCACTACAGCTATTCCTCACGATTGTGTAAGAGTTATCCAATCACCCTTACTAAAAAGGACAATACTCACATTCTTAGTTGTAAGAGATAGATGAGAAACATCTAACAAAACCTTCACAGCGACCAAGTTGAATGAGGGCAGCGGGAGAAAACAAGGTGAGTTTGAATTGAGCAACTCAGTCAATATAGATTCACGTCCCAGACGATGTATCCAAGTTCCAAATGGTTATGACCACATGTTCACCATCTCTTCTAATGCAAGCTCCTGGGTACATATGCTCCGATACGAATGTCATCATCGCCACCAGTCGATTCTGTATCCGGCCCCATCCTCCCACGTATCCACGCTTGAAGGGTGCGTTGGTCCATTTTGACGTGAGACCAGAGTCGTCTGGTCAGAAGTTGGATCCAGGGGACGGTGAGTTTGGAATGGTATCACAAACGTTTGGGGGGATGAACTGAGTGACAATGAACGCAACGGATCAACTGCTGTGGAATGTGTAGTTAGGAAATGTTACAACAAATGATGTCTTATGAAGAAGGAAGCTTACCGACGTTGGTGACCCGTTGTTCTTGGTCTGCGCCTTTGGTTGCGCGAAGCTTCTCGAAGAAGTTTTTGGGATCACCACCATATGTTTCCTTCACCTTTTCCCAATTCGCTGTTGCGGGATCGACGATAAACTCAGAACGCTCTATACTAGGATCGTTCCTTATGGTGGCAAGCATCCCCTCAACTTCTGACTTGCGATCGCCATTCAGGACATCGATAGCGAATTTCGTAGTCCAGGGGAAAAGATGGTTTACGTCAGTAGAAGGGTTTTTCTTTACCCACTTCCACATCATGCTGTACCAAAATGCGGTTTTGAGTGGAGGGAGACAGGCACGTCTTTTGACCAGTATCTCGATCTTTCCGTCGAGGTCCTGTGGGAAAGACTGGCACTGATCGGTCTCGTGTGCCCCAGAGTTGCATACACCACAGCCGTGCGTGAAGCCGTCTGGTCCCATCTGCCAGCACTGAATGACCTCATGCCCAGGCATCTTGCACGTGCCACAGACTCCTGGTTCGGTCTGAACCGGAACTTGCACATTCGACTCTTCATTATCCTCAGCATCAGGCAGGCTTTCCGCATCATCTGCGAAGCCGTCATTTTCTGGCGCGATCAATAGGTGTCTGAGTGGCTCGAACAGCACCACGGGCGTTGCGTTTGCCTTATTCCCACGAGCCAGAACAGGGACTTCCCAAATCAGCGGATGGACTTGTTCATTTTTGTTGAACTTGCGCTTTTGACCCTTGTTCAGCTCGCTGATCTTTTGTCTCCTCTTTCTTCTTCTTCACTGTTGTCCACCATTGTTTTGGCTCTGCTGGGTTTGCGAGGCCTGGTGAGACTGAGAGAATGGGTTTGAAGGCTCGTTACCAGGTTGCCATGGGACATTGGGTTCAAACTGGTATGTGTTGTAACCTTGTCCCATCTGAGGGTTGTAGTTGGGATGAGGCGTAGGATAATTGGGTATGTTTGTCCAATTTCCTTGACCTTGGTATGTGTTGCAAGCTTGTCCCATTTGAGGGTTGTAGTTGGGATGAGCCGTAGGATAATTGGGAGTGTTTCCCCAATTTCCATGACCTTGGTAGTTACCATTATTGTAACCACCGCCGCCACCATCATGACCACGACCACGACCATCACCGCCACCTGCGGCCTCACGTCTTGGTCGTTTTCCTTTCGTCATTGGTTGTTGCTGTTGCTGCTATCGTTGTTGTTGTGGGAGCTGTAGCTGTGGTGTCGATGAAGAGATGAGGAGAAAAGAAAGAAAGAGAGGAAGCGAGAGGTGGAAGGCAATGACGTAAACAGCCCGAATGAAGATGATCTGTGCGGTGCCTGAATCATTCTCCAGACAGAACTGTGACTGTCAGTATCAGTGGCTATTATTGCCAGTGGCTATCAGTGCCAGTGACTGTTAGGTATTAAAATAACCAGGAAACAGGCCAGGGAGCGAGTTGCATGAATTTTATCTACTGACTAACTTACCTTACATATAGATACACTTCGGTCATAAAGGCAGATTTTCAGGGAGATCAAGAACTGTCTGTTTAAAGTGGAATACATTGTATGTTGTTAGTTATCCTGGTTCCTCGCAAATGTGGATATCATTAACAAGGAGAATTTATACAGGCAAGTTTTGACTACAGACAAGACAGAATGGTACAGGAAAGGTAACATTACAATGAAGTGTTATCCGTACACATACACATACACATACACGATACCATCACAGGGGAATTAAGCTTGCATCAGAACGGGGCATCAAAGGCAGTAGTATAAACGGATTAGTTACTTATTTCTTTAACTTTACACCAATGGTCTCGCCTTCATTGTATCTGGGGGGAGGCAATGGCCAAAGATCATTGGGCTTCCTTCCGGTGTATAACTCCAATTTGTCGCTCCATTTGTTCCAGATGTTCCAGACTTGGGGCGGGATCCAGTTCCAGTCACGAACAGCCGTCTGACCGTCCATCATACGGATCAACGATGTATACACACCGAACGCACGATCCGCGTTTGTGTGCTTTTTGACTAATGCAAAATTGACGAGAACTTGGACTTCAGGACTGGCATCGAGTTTGACCCCTGACAGATGATCATGAAACACGTTTTCCCCAGTTGAGAAATCGACGACGGCGACCTGGTGGGCAAAGGCAAGGAGCAAATGCTCGCAGATGACCAGGTACTCGGGCTTTTTGAGGATCCTCAGGGGCGTAGGTTCGCCAACTGGGATCGAATTGTCGACTAGCGAGGATCGCAAAGTACGGAAGCTCTTTTCCCCCTCTGTACACTGGGTCATATCAACTTGAAAATAGCCATTGGCCACAGATTTGATCTTGACACCAGGCGGGACAACTTGGTGTACATGGGCATCGATCACACTGACTGAGGCCCAGACATTACCATAGTGGTTGAATTTGGTTACTATTCCGTTGGCCAAATCTCGTTGGAGGAAAGTATCGATTGTCTCAATAACATCTGTCAACGATTCGTGGCTATGCGCTAAGCCCGACCTCGCCCTTTCAGTCAAAAGCACCGTGTCTGGATAGCCGCTTACAAGGGCAGAAGCGATCTTGACCTTGATCATGTTGATCCAGGAATCATCCGAGGGGATTGAAAGAAAATAGGCGATGTGATGGTTGTAGTCGACTTGGTCAAGTATCGTGTAGTATACCTTTGGATTCTCAACTTTGAGGGAAAGCAGTGAATTTGAGCTTGCCCAGTCGCATAGCTGCTGCGAGACAAGGCGATTCATCATGTCCGTCACAACCATGTGGTGGTTGTCCATGTAGCCCTTCAGTACCCGGAGTAGAACTGACATGTACTGACTCCGGGGATTGAATTGGGTCAAACCAGTGAGAAATCCGCCCAATTGGTCGTTCAGTATTTTCATGCGGCGCATGGTAGGGGGGCTTTTCGTCAAGTAATCGGGCCGCATTAGAATATGTATATTCTGTGCTGGCGCGGCAATGCGATGAACCAGGTTTGCTTGGCTGTTTCGCTCTGATAAAGATGTCCTGAGCGTGACATCGACGATCTGTCTCGTGACGAGGTCGAAAATCTTTCGGCGGCAAGTATTGCTCGTAACGACAATGACTTGACCAGGACAGCTGATTTGAGGAGCATATCGGAAACTTGGTGGTAAGGTCAGCAACATGCCGCCAGGGTAGATGGGTCGAGGCTTGATGAAGTCCTGGATGAGATGTTGGTCTGAGGGAGTAAGAGTGGTCTCGCTCCATTGTTTCGCCCATTCTTCACTGTGCTCGCAGTCCATAGACGGATTGATCAGCCAAGAGGTATCATACTCGGTGTATCGCAAGCATGTATGCGGGAAACTGGCATCCAATATATTGGCAAACTCGAAAAGTGCCTCAGAAGCGGTCTGTTCTTCAGGGATCTCAACGGCCGTAAACTCAATGCGATGCTCATCTGGTATGAGGAATTCTCGGGGTGCCGAGAAGTGTTGGAACAGATCGCGCGTGATTTCGTGAAGTCTGTCGCCCGATAGCGTAACGACTCGCATGTGTGTGCTACTCACAGCACTGTATGTGGTGATGGCAGCAAGGGCGATCGCAAAGTCGGCAGAGTAGTCAGGATCCGCATCGATCATGACAAGAACTTGCTTCTGGCCACTGAAGCATGGGAGTCTCTAATCCTCAACTTCAGGGGCGCTGGCAAGAAGAGTTATCATATCTCGATAACGAAGGATTCCGACTGGCGTTTTGAACTGTCCGAACACAAATTGTCTCGAAACGGCATCGAATTTGAAGTTCGGGACAACCACTACCACTTGGGTTTCCAGCTCATCTTCCTCCATAAGCTTCGCGAGCTCGGATGGCACCCGGAACATTTTGTTTCTGGCATATTGCCCCTGTACATGAGCGAAACCGATGGGGGAGGAATCATCTCTTATCCACTCCACGATGTCATGGAGCACTTGTGACCGCTTATCCATCTGAATGTCGGTTCTTCGGCTGGCGGATGTATGACTGCCGGAAACGAGAGCGTCAATAGGGAGAGAATCTTTATGAGGCCGGCCTTGGTCTCGCTTGGCGGGTGGCTCGGTGGGTGGCTCTGGCGCCGTTCTTTTTCTTGATCCTTTGGCAGGCATTCTTGCACATTGTTTGAGGATGATGCGAAGGTTGAGTAAAAGCCAAGGTCGAGAACATTTTGAAAATTCTGTAAGGTACCTAGTAGGAGGTACCTCAATGAATCACATCCATAACAGGCGTTACCACTGCCACTGCTACTGCCACTGCCAGTACTGAACACATCCCTGCGCGGGAGAGGGTTTTTTTCCTGCCAGCAATTATCTGGTAGACCAAAAGTTCTGCAGCAGTGGTTTTCTGTCAGAAATATCATGTAAACCCAATAGGGCAGAATGTCAAGGTGAAAAGATAAACCCAATAAGGCAGAATGTCAAGGTGAAAGGATAATATAGACAGTCTTTCACCTTTGAGCCAAGTCTCATCTGCAGTCAAAACACGATATGAGAGGTGACAGACTGACCAGGTGGTGAAGGCCAAAGATTGACGACTTACAGCAAGCTTTGAGAGACCAGACCGGAACGTGATTTCTCAATGCTCGCTACGTCCTGATCCACCTGCACGCAAGCCAAAGAGACCAGACAAGCTCCAGAGAATATGATGACTGCGTGTATCCAAGGGTTTTGCTGTACTGTATCTTAAATCACTGCCAGCCTTCCGCAAAGTGCAGCTTAAAGATCCATCTGTCTCGTACCATTTACCTGACCGCTCTTTCTTAGAGTTCTGGCCCAAAAGAAAAAAGGGGGAGGGGAAACATGTCAATATTTATTCGAATCTAACAGCAATAATAAAGGACATAATTAATTCCAAGCTACTTGATTGCTCATAAATGTAGCTCCCCTCTGTAAAGTGTATTGACTGAAGCCTCACCTTTCTCTCGATGGACGGTTGTGTCGTTGAAAGAGGAGTCGAGTCTATTCTCCGATTGGATGAACTTAAATCAACGTTTTGATGGATGATTTGAACTAAACGGCGCCGATGTGATATTGCACTCCTCTAGATGCACCTGCTATCCCTTGTTTTGCTAAAGACAACGTACCACTCATTTATCATCAACCTCGTCATGATTCTTGGCCAACTCAAACTTGGTTCGCAGCCCTTTAACACCCCCAGGCAATCCCGAACCCCATCGCTCCCAAACCTCGGGCGGGATCCAATTCCAATCTTTAATCGTAGTCATCCCCCGCTCACGAACAGCTCTCGTGTAAATACCCACAGCGTAGTCCCACTCGTCCTTCGGGATGGTCTCCCATTCGAAACTGTGCCGTACCTCGAAACTTGCTTCCATGGGAGTTTGAGACACAAGGTCCTTTATGGAAATATCGCCGTCCTCGTTGACTGTGACGAGAGCAATTTGGTAGGTGTAGGCTCTCAGGAGATGACCCCAGACTTCCATGAATACATCGGATTCGATACCCTCTGGTTCTTCCTGTTCAAACGGCAATGAATCATCAACGCTGTATCCACACGTTTTGAGGGCTTGGAGTAGCACTCTGCATCGTTCCATGACGTGCTTCACTTCGTCCATGTAGACCAGAACCTGCTTATCAACGATATAAATCTCTGGAAAGAGCATAGAAAATCGTGATGCGCTTATCGCAGTCTTCATGAGTCCAAGGCCCTTCATGACCGTACCAGTATGTGCGACATGCTTGAAGAGTCCAATCCGGGCTGCGTCACTGGTTTCGTGGACCTCAGGGGCTGTTTTATACACAAATGCAAAGCAGTTCGTGTTACTCCCCGAGATTATCGCAGCCATTTGCGCTTTCGCTGTGTTGATCATGACGTTCTTGGACTTGATACTCAGAAAGAGTGCGAGGCGATGGTCGTAATCAACAAGGGGGAGAATATTGTAGAAGGCCTGTTGTGTTTCGTTGGGGAGAGCCAGTGAAAACCCTATGGTTGATGTGGGATCAAGTCGAAGGATACCTTGCTGGATGAGTCGTTGTCCAATATCGCTAGCGATCTGAGATTCTTCTCCCCTGGGATCGAAAAGAGTTATGACGTTGGAAATGCCGAGAGGCCATTTATCCAACTCGCTCAAAGCTGCCAAGAAGCCGCCAATCTGATCATCCGCAAATCTCATGCGTCGAGGGTTCTTAGCCCCGTAGCTGAACCCTGGCTGTGTATATATATTTGTGCTTTCTCCGCTGAAGCGATGCACCCAACTCATCTGTTGCTTCTCTTCGGAAGTTGAGCATTTTGTGGTGACGGTGATGGGCTGTCGTGTCTCGAGGTCGAAGATCAGCCGGCGACGGGTGGTGCTCGTGATGAGGTGAGGCTTGCCTGCGTCGGGGATCCTTTCGGCAGTTTTGAAGTCAAGGTTAATTAGAAGTGCTCGTAGAGGTTTTGTTGCGGAGTCTAGGCCTTGATGATGATGTTGGTAACACCGATCCCAGGAGTCATCAAGTCGTGTCGGTCTTCGGAAGCTGATACAAGTGTGAGTACCATTAGGGGCAGTCTTTTTGACCCAGCTCATCATTTCTGATGTTGGGCTTTTGCTTTGTGAGTTTGAGATGAGTTTCCCCCCGCCGCGCGGCATAGATGGCAGCACGTATTCTCGAAGGGGTTCCTTGGCCGCGGGCCAATAGTTCCAGATGGCTTTTGTCATATCGTGCAGGCCTTCCCATGACATTGTCATCAAGCGTATGCGGCAACTAGATGAACTGTGTCTTTTTATCATGGTAGTCCATGCTATCAGTGCGAGGGCGTACTCGGCAGAGTAATCAGGGTCTGCCTCGATGATGACAACAACAGCGCAAGCGTTCTTGCCAAGGTCTGGAAGGTACCAGTCATTCTCCCGACGAGCCATCTTTAACATATTTGTTGCTTCGACGTAATCCATGGTACTGATGCTTTTCGCGGTCTGTGTGGTGAGACGCATGTTGGCTCTCAGCTTCTCGCGTTCCTTGAAAACTTGATCCTTCTTTGTCGCGTTTGTGATATGGATGATTTCCGCGTTTGATTTCGATCTGCAAAAAGAATCTTGTAAGAAAAGAGGAACTTTGACAGCCTTTGCGATTGCGGGTTGGCCTTCTATATGCGCAAACATGATGGGGTGGTCTTTCATTAGCCATTTCGCCATATCACGAATGGTTTCTTTCCAAGGGTCGCCCATTTTGTACTGAACTAACAATAGAAAATGATAATGAGTTGAAGTTTTATCTTCAGTCCTGCTCATTAAGTACTAAGAACATCATAATATGCATTGAAAATGGCGTGCAGTGGCGAGAATGGGTGATGAAATGATGGCTCGGATAGCTGCATGGATGAAACAAAGAAAGCAAACGCCATGCACGGGTAGTGAGCAATCAACATGATTTAGTCGCATTTGGCAAGCATGATCAAACAATCATACTGACCATTTCCTCAATTTCTTTTGATGAGAGAAACAGAAAGCGCCATGCCCTGCACTGGCACTGCAGCTACACAAACGACACGTCGAATGCAGATTGATCGCAGAGTTTCTTCCAATTTTCACGCGCGATCAGAGCAATCCTACTCAGACACACGAACCAGCAGAATTGCATCACAGGCTCATATTAGCGGAAAGTCTAGATATCATTCGCATCTAATATTTATTTTGTCCGCGAAACCAAAAGGAACTGGCTCTGCTGAGAATGAGTCCACGTCTACAAACCATTGAAGTGGTCAAACGGTGGAGGATAGCATATCACACCATCAAACTTGGAATTAATCTCTCTCACTTTCATCATATTCATAAAACAACTATCAGGAGGATGAGTTGGAGCCTCCACCTGCAAGTGCGCTCTGTGCTCTTGTTGATCATCTCGTCCCGTCCCGGCTACTGTAGCCATAGCGAATATGAGTTGGCGCTTTCTTAACGTAGAAACAGTGGCTAAACTCGAATTTTCAGCTGGCCGCGATGCCAGCTCCGATTCGCATGATTGCACTGAATTGCCTGCAAAAATATCTAGTATCTGATATCCTGGGGCTGTATCGCAACTTGCATAGTTCCAAAGTCTTGACCGATGAAGATGGCATCATCAAGTAGTTTGTTCGCGGGCTTGTTGCAATGGGTTTCGGATATTACTGTACAATATGTATGAGGCGAGTTCAGGTACAGCAAGAGACACGGTTTTCTCGAAGATTAAGTCTTCCCAGCAGCCTCCCCCTGTAAGTGTTATGCAGCTCGTGAACGGGCTGCGCGGAACTTGGACTTCTGTTGACTGGGGTTTTCTGTTTTCTTGTTATTCTTCATAGAGTCATCAGTGTAGACCATACACAGAGCTTGGCATTCTTTAATGTAGGTGTCGATTTTCATGAGGTTTCTAGCTACAAGGTAGTCCCAGGCCACAGAGTATCTAGCAACTCCGTCCCGTCTTACACATGAACGCACGATCTCATATGTATCCTTGATGCAGCAAGACAGCGAGCTGATCCTTCCACGATAGCCTACACATCCCGCCGAATCCATCAATCTGGTACCAATTTGTTCTGAATGCACCCTACCCCATGCCATGAAACTACATCATCAAAAGCCCATAGTCGCGCAAGAGACCAGACTTAGCACGCTCCTTGATCCCCAAGATCATCTCCGAGATCTTCAACTTCTCTTCAGGAGTTTCAGCCCGCTCTCGCCACAGATCACCAGCGAGGTTGATACGCTCAGGGATACCAAGCCAGTTGCCCTCCTTGCCTTTAATAGCCCTGTTGCTGATGAAAACGATGGTAGTCAACTCTGGGCTGTTCTTGTCGAGAAATTTGGTGATCAGATCCTTGCAGACGTTTCGCTCTTTTTTAATCCCGTCCAGGACGTCCTTGAATCCTCCTGGGAGAGTTGCAGCGCCCTTGACTGTTCGTGCCTTTCGGGTTTCTGAGAGGTCCTCCAAGTAGCTTCGCAGAGTAGTCACTCGAGTCTCGGTGAATTCGCGGTGCCAGACTAGAATGTCGTGCCAGATTCTGCTGATGCCTTCCAAGTTGATTGGCTTACATGCCTCGAAGAGTACGCTTCCATCCATACCCTGGATACTGGCAGGTCCAAGTACAAGAGCATGGCCTTTCTCGGGGGGGGTTTTCGGGGTTGGTGCGATACGACTCGCTACTATGCCCTATTTCCTCATAGTTCCAAGTCAGGTCAACACGCTCCTCCATGAGGCGCTCTCGGATCTTGTTGAAGTCGCGGCCATCGGGGCCGTAGACAAATGTCCAGAAATCGAACTCGGCTGGGAGGATCAGTGTGAATGGTCGGTCTATCTTTCTGGGAGCCACCCCTGGGTAGAGCGCCTCCCAAGCGATTCTTCGGCTTTCCAGAGTTGGGGGTGTAATGGGCAGGGGTTCATGCATGTCATCGCAAACAGGGGCTTGGATGGACGTAGACTCATTTTGAGCTTGTACCTCTTGGAACTCTAGTTCCTCAGTGAAATACTCACGGTTGGTGTCCAGGTACCCGTCGTAAAGGTGATCTTCTCTCAGAGCGGCAAACACTGTCGAAAGCGGCTCTCCATTCTTTTGCGAGGGGGGTTGCGGCCATGGCCAATCTGGCTTCGAGCGCGGGAGCACTGCGGCGACTGCAAATTATTTGATCAGCTCAAGATAAAACGATTTTGGGTTGAGTGGTACTTACGCCAAAGGTCCCAGAATACCTTGTCGACTTTCCATGCAAAGCGGGAGACAGTGGTTGTTTCTATGTCCCCATTGATGAGGAGTTTGGCTGCGATGATTGTGGCGTATTTGTGCAAAACCTTTCTTGCCTCTTTGTTGTTTTCTCTCGGAAAGTTGTGAGAGAGAAGTCTTTCAACATAGTCGCGCCTCTGCTTTATGTCTGGCTCCGCGCCGGGGAACGGAGGAACCGGAGATGCCAGTGGCGGGAGAGGCAGGGAGACATGCACCAAATCATTTGGAGAGTATTCAGTCATCTCGAGGGCGTTGAAGATGACGGAAATGCTAAGGATGAGAAGAAGTTTGACAGTTTGGGCTGTTTCTGAGTTGGACTTTTGTTTGCCGGCATTAGGTGTGATTCACTGCCACTTGTTAGGGTAGAGGCTCACCAGTGCTAAACAGTGTATGGTAATATATCTACAAATACTGCCTATTCTTCCTCCTTGATAACTATTGTTCCCTCTTTCTTTTATTCATTCCTGCTATAATTCTATGAACTGCAGTCTGGACCTCAGGGGCTGATGGACATGCGGTGCGCCATGATGGACACCGCGTCTGATATGTGAAAAGTATATGATAACGTTCATACTTACAAAGTAGCCAGCAAAATCTCCGCACTTAAAAGGCTCTATACAGGACTCTGTGCTTGAATGATGTGTCGCTAGCCTCCGCGGTAGCATGTCCCAGATGAAGGTCAATCATGGCGTTCACTATGGACAACTTAAAGCCAAAGACGGTGCAAGCTTTCTCAACCGTGATGGTTCGGGCGTCTTCAGAATGCTTTGTGTGCGCATGAGGATACACTAGATATATCATACTTGGCATTCCTTGAGTGGTAAGATGGGAGTAAATTGCGCACTACAAAAAGATTCATTTATTCCATACTGAGTCTGTGAACGATCGTATACATTAAGCTCTCCCTCATTAACCTCGTCACCGTTTTAGGCGCCTTCTATCATGGCCAGACCATTTAAGTAAATACCAACACGCCTGTTCTTCTAGTGAGTACTCGTCTAAATACCACAGAAAGAAACTATTACTTATGAAACCATACACTACCCTAGACTTGTCTATGTCTGTCCATGTGCTAGGGTTGGAATCCTGACATCTTTACTCTGTATAAGTACTGGGTATCGCCGGGACATCCTTGGGGAAGTGTTCAAGATCTTGAATGTCACATGCAAGTGATTCTCGATGATCGTCGCCGTTACATTCGCACTCCGGTAGCGAGCCCGGAGCTTTCTCCACTTGCGCCCGAACCGGGGCCGGCTCTTGACCCGATTACGGCAGTTCGCGATTCCACCCCGGACCAATCCTCAAAACAGTCACCGAATCCTTCTCGAAAGCTTAAAAACTTATCGAACGGTTCGGGCCGTTACCTGAAAACGAATAAAGCGCTCTTGGACCTGCATACAAAGTTACATTATTCCAGGGGCCATTCACCACTGAGCTGTGAACGTGGAAATGAATAAACGTCGAAACTGTCGAAGGCTATCGCTGATTAGCTCTGGAGATCGGCACGTGGGTGGTCGATGCTGATGACCTGGGGGTTTCAAACTTTGATGCGAACCTGGTGAGGAGGATGCTTTGCATGCTGATTGGTGGCTTGGGACTAGGGTGCACTAAGAGCTCACGAGGGTGGTATTGGACGGAGTGGATGATTAGAGGAATCAGATATTGGGATGGATATGCGAAAGGGGATATATAGTTTCGAAACTCCTACTTTGAAACTCGCGTTGTTGTTGTTTCCCACCTCCTTTCGTTCAACTTTGGTATAAGGTTGAGAGGCTTCAGCCCCAATACACAAAGGTCAAGGAACACATACGGGTACATACTCATTTCGTTCATTCAACTCAATCATCATGAAGTCTTTCGTTTCTGTTGCTATTCTCCCTCTCGCGGTTCAGGCCGTGAGGATCGTTCAGTCCAATGATGATGGATGGGCAGAGTCTTATATCCGCACTTTCAATGACGCTCTGAACAGCGCGGGTTACGATGTCGTTCTCTCCGCGCCTGCAGAGAACAAGTCTGGCAGCAGTAAGTCACATCAATACGCGTTTCAATCACATCTAACATCATATAGGCTCTAGGGATGAGAAACCCAAGGACCGCACCACAGCGTGTCAGTACGATAGCTGCCCTGCCAACAGCGGCCCTGTTGGGCACGATCCCAAGCGTCCTGATCTCAACTGGGTCAACTCGTTCCCTGTCACTTCCATGAAGTACGGTATCGACACTTTTGGTCCCAGCTTGTGGGATGGCGAGGCTCCTGAGCTTGCTGTCGCCGGTCCCAACGTTGGAACCAACCTCTGGCTTCAAGTTCCCTTCTCTGGCACCGTCGGCGCTGCTTGCTATGCTGCTCACGAAGAGGGCATCCCAGCCATTGCCTTCTCTGGAGCGTCTACCGGAAATACGGCCTTCAACACTAGCCCCGTTCCCAAGCGCAGTCTCATCTACGCTGAGCTCGCGACCACTCTCGTCAAGAAGATTGTCGACTCTGGAAAGCCTTATCTGCCCGAGGACGTCTATCTCAACGTCAACTTTGGCAAGGTTGAGGGCAAATGCACCGATGCGTCCCAGTTCCAGTGGGTGCTGACTCGCATCAATACTGGTCTTCTGTCTGAGCGTGATACTGAATGGTGTGGTGAGGATCGTCTCCCTACTGAGACCGAGATTGCTCTTAAGAGCGGATGTTATGCTTCTATTAGTGTTGGAGATGCTGCTGATAAAACCACTGCTGATGCTGCGCGACAGAAGGTTGTGTTGGGTAAGTTGAAGGACATGCTTGTTTGTGTCGATTAGATCGCAAGTGGCATAACGGGTGATTTGAGTAGATTAATATGTATATAGACTATATTAGCATGATCAATTGAATATCTCAAATAATTCTACTTGTATGACAAAACAAAAGTGATTCCATTCCCAAGTTCACGTTTCAATGAGTCGATGGGCTTATCGATAAGCGTTGATACCTGACATTCCAGGCCCACCTAAAACACTTTAGCAACCTCGACTTTTTGCGCTATCCGAGTATCACGATCAAGGGCCGGGTCGCCAGAGCTCTCAATTACCCCCTCACAATGGCGCCAATCGACCGCTGCTTGGCCTCCATGGCCAGGCTATCCCTCCTCCAGACTCCTCGGCCGGCAATTCCCACGATACCGAAGTTCCTCGCCCCGGCAGCTGCTCAACAAGTTCGACAGGCTTCGGTTGTGAGAATCAAGAAGACTGGAAAGAAGAAGAAGGCGTTGCCTAAGGACTTTAAGAGACATAATTTGGCTAAGAGGGAATTCCCTCAATACTCATTATGTGAAGCTATGAGGTCAGTTGGATTGGGAACACGGCACTAAGCGGGGGAGACTAATATCGTGCAGAGTCCTACGAGCTGTTGAAGTTGGACAACCGCCTGCTTCGGTCAAGTACGAAATTCACATCAACCTCAAGACCGCCCGAAACGGACCCGTCATCAAGAATAGCGTCCGACTTCCTCACCCAGTCCAGAGCGATTGGCGAATTGCCGTCATCTGCCCCGAAGGCAGCGAGATCGCCCAGCAAGCCACCGCCGCAGGTGCTGTAGCCGTCGGTCAAGAAACCCTCTTCGAAGCCATCAAAAAGGAGCAGATCAACTTCGACCGTCTCATCTGCCACGAGGCCAGCGAAGCAGCGCTCAACAAAGCCGGTCTAGGAAAGATCCTTGGTCCCAAGGGTCTCATGCCCAGCAAGCGAATGCGAACCATCGTCCCCGATGTCGTCAAGTCGATGCGAGACTCTGCTGGTGCAGCTGATTACCGTGAGAGACAGGGTGTTATCCGCATGGCCATTGGACAGCTGGGTTACTCGCCTGATCAGCTCAAGAATAACATCAAGGTGTTGCTGAACAAGGTCAAGGCGGAGTGTGCGGAGATTTCAGAGGAGGTGCACAAGGAGGTCCACGAGGTCATTCTCAGCACAACCCATGGACCTGGCATAAGCTTGAATGGAAAGTTGAAGGATGCAGAGGAGCAGATTACCCCCGAGGCATTGTCGAGCATCATGTAAAAATAGCCTTGAGCTTGTATAATTGTATCATATGTCATATTACGAATAGACCTTGTGAGCGTCGTGGGTATCATTATTCATTGCGGCTATGAACTGCCTCTGAGGGCCTTGACAGCCTCTGCTCGTGCATCTAGCACTCTATATATCGCCAAACACTTGAGCACTCTATCCTGTCCCTTTATACCAGCCTTTTTGGCTTCTTTTAGAGCGTTGCCCAAGTCTAGCAGCAATGTGTTTCTGCACCGTGTCAAACGTTCCTCCATCTTGATCACAAACGGGGCATTTGGGTCTAAAGACTCGAGAAGCTTTGTGATGCGGCTGCACTCTTGTGCCGAGACAAGCAGTCTTGTTGGGGAGCTTCCGTAGTTGTCGTCCTCGTCTTCCTCCTCGCTTTCTTCATCCCAGTCCTCGTTATTGGGCAGACTATCCAGAGACAACCGTTCTTCTAATGATGAAAGACGCTCAGATAGCTCAATCATTTTTCGGCCCTTCTCGATAGCTGATCGTACACCACGTAGCTCGCCATTGAGGGCATTCGTTTCCTCTTTCCGCTCCGTAACTTTCATCTTGACTTCCTCTACTGCTCGTCGGAAACCAAGTAGAGAAACCTTGACATCCTCGACCTTGTCGTCGCCGCCGCGCAATTCGCTACCGAGTGAAAGAAAGGCTGTGTAGTTCGAATTGACAAGTTCGAGAAGTTCAGAGCTGATCGCAGCACTCCTGTCGCGAAGATCCGATCGCAAGTCCTCAAGGGTCTGGTGACGATGTGGTAGAGCAGATAGATAAGCGGCAGGTTGGAAGTCTGGAGCTAAGAAGTCGACGCGAGGGAGAGCTTCAGGAAATGGTAGAGGAGCATCTTCGTCGACAGAGGAAGTGTCGGAGCCGGAGAGGGTAAATGGAGCGGATACTCTGAGATCTGCCATTGGGTACGAGAGGTCGTTTGGCGCGGCGGCCATTTTTGTTGGTTGTATACTCCGTACCGTGTGGTAGGTTGTCTGTAAGTGTCTCGACGTAGGCTAAAGGTTAGGTGGCATGGATTTGGTGGAGGAGCTTCTGAGGGTGAGGTTCGGCGGTGCTAGCCCTGATTGGACGCTGTGATCTTATCAATGGACCCCAGATCGTGGAACTGGCATATCACTCTTCATGCGAATTCATTTCCATTCAAAACAAGAGGCATGTTATAATATCTGTCTTTGGTAATTATAATACATAAGAATTTCACGTAGGGAATGGCTATTGTCCATGCGAATTTAGTTTTTATTTCCTGTGATAGTCTCCTAAAAACGAGGGAACATAAAAACCCTCCTCTCGCTCACAGTCCTGGATCTAAGTCATTTGTTCCCGACACGAATACCGACTGCCAAGATCACCTCATCTGGAACTCCAAGTTCCGTGTGAGGAGTCACTTCTCATTGGCCGTTATCGACATGTTGGTTCGAGACTTGCTCCGTGTAACCTGGTAAAAGGATTAGCTCCGTGGAGATCGAGTGCTGGACACCATGACTGGATCAGGTGGATGGGGGCAAAGAGAAACCGAGACGAAGCGGATCACATTACGTTTGACGAGCTGACCCCAAGGATGTGTTTACCGAGGATAAGTCTAGGCTAAAGGACAGCTGGCTTGAGCATATTGAAGTTCAAGTATTGGAGTCAGTCAATATCGCATTCGATACAAGAGTTTTGAGTTGATTGGTGTCATCAAACATCGAGCCTCTTCAAATTGGCCATGTCAGATGTAAAAATTCCCGACTGTTTCAGGCGGCGTTGAACCCTTGCTACAGTTCAATGTCACATCATCTGGCCCCAAGCTCGGTAGACCGAAGCTTGCCCCAACGTCCACCGCACGAACCACCAGCCGCTGGGTAGAAGGAAGATGCAGGTTCAATTGAGGTCCTATGATCGGCTGTTCAAGTCCGGATATAACGACTTCACCCACGTGAGCGGGACATTTCCCAACAGTTCGCCGCAAATTCCATAGAGATTCCGCACCTGTGTAAAGAAACGGTTAAGAGTTGAAGCTATTGCACAGCGAAGTCGGAGTAAGACCCTGGGATCGGCACTAAAGTTATGCATGCTGAAAAGATCTTATCTGATGGCTGCGTGATCACGGATTCGCTCGTGCAACTCCGACTTATGCCGGCCAAGTCCAGGTGAGCCCCGAGCCTCGGACGAATTAAGAAGGTGAGTGTCAATGGCTTGGAGGGGCTTTAGTGGAGGAATCCATTCAACAGAGAATAACTATTGGAGATCTTCAGTGATGATGCTACCTTTCGTTACATTATGACGAGAATGCGGATATCCTGCAACATGATTTGAACTGCCGCGGAGGATTATCAGCAAGATCGACGAGCTACTGCTGATAAAATGCCGAATTCTGGCTGTCGCGTCAATAATTGAGCCTTAATAACTTGCTCTAAGGGTCTCACGGTTGGATGCGTTCAGGGGGTCAAGGTGTTGCGGAGCCACAACAAGTTATGACTGATTAGATCCTCCGCTGGGACTGGATGCCTGAAAAATGCCTGGTCGGCAATCATATTACGAGAAAAGTTGCTGTTCAATTCGGTCGTAATCTGATGAAACTGCATCTGGGTGGTTGTCTCTGAATGCCTGGCGCAGATACTTCGTGCCTGGCGTGTGACGTCCGCAAAACTTTTATCAATCAAATCTTATCAATCTGATTAGATCCACTATCTTCTCCTGGAATCGGACCATTGGCTTCCCAACCGTCGGTTGTGCTCGGGGCACAAAAGTAACGAGGCACCCCGCGATTAATTTCCTTCTCTGCTACCCTTTCTCCCCTCTCCAACTTTGCTCTGATTGATTGATGATCTTTTACAAATCTTCCGGCTTCTGTACTTGGATGGGTTCATCACCTTATCAATCTGACAACCTGGCTCTCAGCCCGTTATCAATCAACCGAAGCTAAAGCCGAGATCGCACCGAGCTGTCACATCGCAGTTGCGTCAGCTTCGGTCCCAATCAATCTTATCAATCTGCAGCATTGACTGTCAACTGAAACCACCATTGACGTCCACGAAGAGCTCGAATTAGAACTCAAAACAATAACAACTCCATTACGACGATTTTCATTTGACAATCTTGGTTCGGCAATTTTTTCAAGATTTACCTCTCGGAACTCCGACCCGATTTGGCGCGACCGACCGAAAAGAGAACCGATCTCGCCACAACCACAACATCTATTACTCGTCGACTCCCACCATGTCGGCTTCATCACCTCAGTCCATTGCATCCCCTGGAGCTGGGACACCTGTCGCTTCACACTCAGGAACCAGGCATCGTGCCATCTCAGCTGCACCAAGTCCTGCTGCCTCACCAGCCACATCCGGTCCCCACAGCCACAGGACGCCACTCTCCATTAAGCCGAGTGCGAAGCCACCTCCACCCACACAACCTCACCAGCGCACTGCTCTTCCTTCCATCAACAAGATGGCCATGTCGTCCGTAATCAGCCCCCAGCCGGCTCCGCCGGAGCCTCCAAAGGTGTCTATGACTTCTAAAGAATGGGTGATCCCTCCAAGGCCCAAGCCTGGCAGGAAGCCCGCTACCGATACACCACCTACTAAGCGCAAGGCTCAAAACCGCGCAGCTCAGAGGGCCTTCCGTGAGAGGAGGGCTGCTCGTGTTGGAGAGCTTGAGGAACAACTTGATCAGCAACGTGAGGCCCAGGAGAAACATGAATCAGAACTCAAGGACAAGATCCACGAACTTGAACTCGATGTCCAATCCTTCCGATCTCGATGCATGTTGCTTGAAAACATGCTGGAGCGGGAGAGACAGGACCGTATCAGAGTCGAGACAGAAGCCGAGACCCTCAAACGTCGTCTAGATGAAGGCGTCTTTAACTCAAATTTTCAGTCCCGAAGCATGAGTTCTCAGCACCCGTTTGAAGGACTTCACAGTCCCACCAGCCAGGGACTGAGACACAGTCTTCCTGATGCACGACCTGATCGTCAATCAGGCCATTCCTTTTCCATCTCCCAAATCATCTCTCCCCCAGAAACCCTCGACATGAGCGCGTCCAATGATACTGAGACGGCCATAACCTGTGGCAACTGTTCTCCAAATGGACCTTGTGCCTGTGCCGAGGAGGTACTGAACTCGGCGGCTAATGGCTGCGGCAAGTGCACTCTTACATCAAATTGTCAATGTCTCGACGAAGTAGCTGAGGCTCTTGATCGGCCTCAAGAGTTGAAGCGTCCTGCCTCACCATCGGCCAATGTATCTACCAAGAAGAGGCATCGGTCTAATGCCGATGCCGAGACTGATTTCACAGCCATGTTCTCCCGCAAGACCCAAGAGGCCTTTTCTGCTCCTTCTCAACTGCCTTCCATGGACTCCATGCCTTTTAGAGATGGCTGCGGCTTCTGCAAGGATGGAACCTACTGCGTCTGCGCTGATACCGCTCTCGCTACTCCCGCCATGACTCCTAATGATACTCTTCCTCCCATCTCTCAGCAGGTTCAGACCCCACCTCCTGAAGACACTGACCCTCCCATTCTCGCTATGGAGATGACGGCCGATGGTGCTGTCAAGCTTCCTCCTCGCCGTCCCCAAAATCAATCGACCGAGCGTCGTGGCTGTGGTCCAAACGGACCTGGTACTTGTGCTCAGTGTCAGGCCGATCCCAAGTCTGGACTCTTCTGTCGCCTGATGGCCGCCAATCTGAACCGTAAGGACGGTAGCTCTGGTGGCTGTTGTGGTGGCAAAGGTGCTGGTGGCGGCTGCTGTAAGACCCAGAAGCCACCACAACCAGAGAAGATCAATCTCCCAAGTCTACCAAGCCTGGGCTTGAGTTGCGCTGAGGCATACCAGACACTATCTAGCCATCGCAACTTTTCCAAGGCTGCTGACGATATTGGTTCTTGGTTACCAAAGCTGAAGGCCACACCTAGACCTAGTACTCGGCCAGCACCGCCAGGTGCAATGATGCCGATTGAGGTTGAAGCAGCAAGTATAATGAGCGTCCTGAAGGATTTTGA